AATTGCATACATTTTATTTTAGTAAACACTGAAAACAGCACACAAAGGTTAAAGGTAAGCATTTAATAATGTTAAAATGTGCTAAATATATACACTGCAAAAAAGAAAAAAAAGAGGAGTAAAAGTAGCTCACGACTTGTTTTATTTTTTGAAAGTAGCTCTCATCCTAAAAAAGGTTGGAGACCCCTGCATTAGAGCGTAACAACTGTAACTATAAGTTTCTGAAATAAATATGTGTACTGAAACAAATACCAATAACTGTATTGCATTGTTTTCTAATGGGCAATTACTTCATACTGTCTTTGTCTTTTTCGTCCTGCATTTATTGTGACCCCTCAGGAAATAACTGGCCCCAGCCTGGCCCCCCCAGTGAAATTGGTCTAGAACCGCCACTGGGGGGGGGATATAGCCAGTCTCTGATGCCCCTTTCACACCGGCGCTTTTCCAGCTCCTGCTTGGAGCTGGAGCTGGAAAAGCGCCGGTTTTTCCTGTTCACACCGCAGCGGCGGCGCGTCATAGCTCCGGAATGCGGTTCACTTCCAGCTCCAAAAAATTGTCGGTCCAGAGGCAAGAGCTTCGGAGCTATGACGCGGCGTCTCTTACGTCGAGGCGTGCAGGAAACCTTACTTTGACCATCCGTTCGCTGTTATTGATCATTGTGGAGAGCAGAGGCCTGTACTACGAAGCCGGATTTTCTCTTAGCCGGCTGACTTCAGGGAAAACTTGGGCTTTCCGGTCCTACGACGCTGGTTCTCTTTTTAGCGGGCTAGATCTCCATGGTAACTTATGCTGAGCGGCTAACCTCCTCGGGAGGAGGTTAGGTTGCAGGCTAAGAGATCAACTCAGTGAAAGCACCGCCTGCTGACCAATCAGAGCTCGGTGTGCGGAGTTTAAAGCTATCAAGTCATATTACAGGATAGAGGAAATACAGAAAAACTGCCGTTGCAGGAAAGACGGCCGGCAAAAATCAACTGACTGTGTGAACGTGAAAATTAATAGAATATCCCCTCCTTCAGAGCAATCTGACTATTATAACATTAGCGTTAAGAAAGCTTACTTAAATATCTGCCACGACATAAGTAACCGGATCAGAGTAACATTAAGTACAGTCCGCGGCACTGTGAGTGCAGACGTCGATGTGTCCCATTATCATTCATATCATATCACATCATAATGTATCATATATTTCCTTATTTGAGTCAGCTTCTTGTGTCGTATCTGGCCGTGCAACACTCACAGTGTCACATACTGTATGCAGAAGTATTATTTTAAGCAACACATTAAGTTGACGAAACACTCGAGTCAAATGTAATTAAAGTCAGATCGTGTCTTGGACGGGGCAGTGATATCATAAACCTGTTAATGTACGCATTCAAACGCTTTTTCTTTTACCAGCTGTAATCACCTTGCAGGTGCAGCTATGTGGCTTTTATCCTGGATAAAGTGTTTAAGTCATGGATGTTTAAAGTTTAACTTCTTCATATTTGACTAATATTAAAGTTCACTTTTCATTCAGGAAGTATGACGCTGCGCTGTCAGTACGCTTGTCCATGTTTGTGATTGGTCGAATGCTCCAAATACCACCCCTTTCATGTGAACGCGCACCTAACTAGATAGGACACGGCTGGCTTGAGCGATCCACTTGATATCCAGCGTCGTAGTACAGTTTAGCCAGAGCGCGTATGTTTTGGATTGGGCCAACCGGCTAACTCAAACATATCCAGGTTAGGAAAATCCGGCTTCGTAGTACAGGCCTCAGGCAGACGTTTTGTTTGTTATTATAGCAGCTATCGGATGGAATTAATACATGGGCTGTACAGGTTGTCATGTCTGACTATCACAAGTAGAATCATAATAAAAAATACGCCGGTAAAATGTGCCTGTAGAAAACGGCTTAGCAAGTAGTCAGTTTAGCTTCGGTTGCTATGCTAACATCACCCATGTTATACCAGAGAAACTTTCATAACAGCGTTGTGATGCCAAACAGCGTCAATTCAGACTGACACACATTCACTTAAGGGGAACTGGGGATATGTATCAGCTGCTTGTGTGACAGTCAGACAGTGAATACTTTAGAGCCGTGTGAGCTAACCCGGAGCTAACGGGAGAATAAACTCCCGTGGAAGTGCAGCCAGCACTGCAGCGGTCGGTAAATGCCGCTGAAACACATTAATAAACAATGAACCACGGCACTCTGGAGAAAAGTATAAGGTTGGAGAAGTCGTTATTTAATTTAATCTGGCTTCGTATGATTAAAAGCAACACGATCATCGACCCGACGCAGTCCCCGGCCCGTTGTTGTTGTGGGAGAAAATCAGCGACGTAAACTGTGACGTCATGACGCAGCAGCGGCAGCTCTGGGCGGTGTGAACAGAGCGGGAGCTGAAAAGGGAAACCGGAGCTGAACCAGAAAAGCTCTCGCTAGGAGCTAGAAAGGGAAAAGCGCTGGTGTGAAAGCTGCATGATAGTGTTACGTTATTATGAGAGTGCTCTCATACTTGTTTGATTCTGAAATTGTATATATTTATATAAACATATATATACCTATATATATATGTGTGTGTGTGTGTGTGTGTGTGTGTGTGTGTGTGTGTGTGTGTGTGTGTGTGTGTGTGTGTGTGTGTGTGTGTGTGTGTGTGTGTGTGTGTGTGTGTGTGTGTGTATGTGTATATATATGTCCGCATCTGTAGCCTGTTATTGTCTCATTATACCGCACTGTCAATGAATTAAAAGTAAATGTATAAGTCGTCATGAACACATCTGTCCATCAGACAGAGGGCTGCTGTGCCTCCTGTCATCATTAACGGACGTCTCTTTAAAATGACCGCTCAGAGGAGAGGAGTTCTCATTTCTCTAACCGCCTGCTGCCTCCCCTCCGCTCTCCTCGGTTCCCCACCTCGGCTCCTCCGCTCTCATCTCCTGTGGGCGGGACTAAGGCCCAATCCCAAACCACGCCCTACACCCTACCCCTACACACTACCCCTCCGTTTGCGCGTTCGCGCGGAGGGTCCGCCACATTAAGTGCTGTTCCAAACCAACGAGTGTGGAGAGTAGGGGTGGGCGGATCGATCCCAAAATATCGATACTTCCGATATTACGTTACGTTTCAAAATATCGATACTAGAGCCAATAGGATCGATACTTTTATACTTTTTTCCCCTTTGTATTGTTATTTTTCATGTTTGCACTTTAAATTTGCAAAAGTAAAACGTTTATTTGTCTATAAAAACTGTCCTATCTTTAATCATGAAAATGAATTCAGATTTAGTCTATTTATGATGCATTCAGCTCAAAAATCATGTCATGCAGCTCTCCCCTACATGAAAGTACATAAGAAGCTTTTCATTTTAAAAAGTATCGGTATCGGTATCGGCGATACTGGCCCTGAAATACTTGGTATCGGATCGAATCCAGATTTTGTGGTATCGCCCACCCCTAGTGGAGAGGTGTGGAGGGGGAGTGGGCTATCAAGCCCTCAAACAGCGAGTCTGCATCGGTGCTGACTTGAAACTGGTCTCTACCTGACCGGAGTCACACTGGGTGTTTCTCAATCGCGAGTAAAGCTGCTCCAGAGCCACTATTTCAAGCATCCTACGTCATAGAGTGCCGCCGAAGTACTGTTCCAATCTCCAGCATACTTGGAAATCTACCGAGCCCGGCGTACTCCGTTTGGAGAAATATCGAGGCTGCACATGAGTAGACTCCGCGGTCTTAAAATCCCCACAATGCTTTGCGCATGGACCAATTTCCCCAAATCTGTGACGGAAAATGTAAGGCGGGGCCTCTCATATGACGCACACCTGCACACTTGCTAGCCTGTTCCACTCTTTGTTTTCCGAATGCCAGGAAGTATTCTTGCCTCGCTTCTGAAGCAAGATGCTCGGCAGACATGTGCTACCAAGCAAGCGTACTCGCGATTGAGAAACACCCGCTGTGTGTGTCCGTCAGGAAACACGCTGTTTACAAGTAGTTCCAGCAAACATCCACTGATAAATTGCGATGTTAACAACCTCATGATAACCTCATATTTTTTTAACTTAGGATCATACCTGTGTTTAGTCTAGAAAAAGGTAAATGTGTGCATTTTATTATAAAGTTGTGTATATTTACAGACTGTTGCAAAAACTAAGAAGCTTATAAACATCAGGTTTAAAACTAAAAGAGCTTTACAAAAAAGTAACACAATGAAAGATGTTTGGAGTTTTATTTGAGTTCTTAATTTACATTTTTTGTCTAAGAGATGCTGATTTGAAACCGTTGTTACATACAGTTACGGCATTTAATGTTTCTGCCGGAGAGAGGGGAGTTTGTCCCAAAGCTTGCCGCTGTATTTACTCCCTCCATCTGACAGGAGGGAGCCTCGTTGAGCTGCGAGTGTGGCTACAGACGGAGTTCACTCCGCCACGGAGGGGTATGGTCGAGGGAGTGGTTTGGGATTGGGCCTAAGACACGAGGATAGGAGTCGAGGAGGGGAATTAGTGAAATGAGAAAGGGCCCAGGTCAGCCCGTGCATTAAGGCGGCCTTGCTTATGCGGCGCAATTATGAAAACACGCATTTTAAAAGGTGTTTCGCCTGCCGTCTTGTCTGCAGACTTGTCAAAGCATTAATTCATGGTTTTTACTAACCGGTATCAGTATGTTGTTACTTCGGCATCATTTTGAAACGTGTATTACAATTAAATCACGGTAAAATATGTTCATTTTGTTGTAGTTACCAGCGATTCTCTCACTAGTTTAGCATACTCAGCCCGGTTGTTGGCCCGGAAAGAACCTCGATTTTGGAGAGCCAGAAAACTGTGAAAAAGTACCCGCTAGCCGGAACTACGCCTAGTGGAAATGCAACCAAAAACGGGCACGGCACGGCACGGCACGCTTAAACCGCTCGACGACGCTCGCGAAACAGAGGGCCTCATCATATAACTTTGCATGGGGCCTCATGTTGGCCAGGTACGGCCCTGAATATCTATAACCCTGTCCTCTCTCTTGTCCTCCTGCCTCAGGGTGCTGTGATCAACCCTGCATCGCCTCTGGAGTCCAGTCTGTCTCTCCACCCCTCCAGTGTGATGGCTCCCCTCACCCAGCAGATGAACCACATGTCTCTGGGCACCACAGGCACTGTGAGTCTGAGCTCCTCTAAACTACTTTGCTCTGCATGCATCTGTGTTATCTTTTGATTTGTATTACATTAATATACTTCGTCAAGTAGATATCGCCATGATCAGCTGTAATTAAATGATCTCACAGCAGAAAGAGCACACATGGATTTGCTAATTGCCTTTTTCTTTTTTGCTGAAATCTGTGATGACCCTGGTCCAAGCCTTACTATAACGTTATGGTTAGTGAAATGCAGGGGTGGGAAAAAGTACATATAAAAATATGCATTATTTAAATGCAATGTCTTGGTGCTTTTAAAACCATACCTAAATAAAAGTGCTGGGATCAAATTATACTTATAGTAAAGTACCAAAAGTAAAAGTAGTCGTTATTCCTTATGGCCCATTTTGTAATAATTTAAATTAAACTACTGGATTATGATTGTTAATGCATCAATATTTTCATCACAGCCAGTAGGTGGAGCTAATTTGCGTATGTAAAATATACTGCTGCTTGATATTTTAACCAATTATTACGTGTAATGTTTATTTATAAGTCGTTTTACATGTTTTATAGCCAATAATCTGAATCTGCAAAGTAACTAAAGCTGTCAGATAAATGTAGTGGAGTTAAAAATACAATGTTGGCCTCCAAAATGTAGTGAAGTGTAGGGAGGCGAGTGGTGCAGTGGGTTGTGCGTTGGTGTTCGGAACAGGTTCAAACCCCACTGCAGTCAGCATGTCGTTGTGTCCCTGGGCAAGACACTTCACCCCAAATTGCTCCTATGGGGATTGTCCACAGTATTGAGAATGCAAGTCGCTTTGGATAAAAGCGTCTAACAAGTGACATGTAATGTAATGTAATGTAATGAAGTAGAAGTATACATTTGCATATAATGAAAATACTCAGGTAAAGTACCTCAAAATTGTGCTTGAGTACATTACTTGAGTAAATGTACTTTGTTACATTACACCACTGGTGAAAGGTTACAAAAACACATATTTCAGCAGGAATATCAGTACTATGAATCACAAGCTTCTGGGGGACATATTGTTTGTGTCTGTATCATCATACTGTGTGCCCCCCCCCCCCCCTCTCTCTGCAGTACATGCCTGCTGCAGCTCCTATGCAAGGAACCTACATTCCCCAGTACTCTGCAGTGCCTGCCTCTGCCATCACAGTGGAAGTAAGGACTATAATAAGTTGTTTATTGTGACCTTATATCAACTTCTTACTGCAGCCAGGGCTAACTGGATTTGAATATTGAGAATGTTATAGTCTATAAGTCACATATGATTCTGTCATATTGTGTCTCTTAGATAAATTAGATGCTAGTAACGGAAGCTGTAGTTTACAGCGGTCATGCTGCCAGAAACGAAAAACAGGAATGATTCATTTCCACTGAGGGCACTTAAGCCTAGATAATATCAGAATTGTGTTGCGGTTCGCTGTGCTTCAGGGTTAGACATTGCCAATAATTAAACTAAATTCCCAAAGGTCAGAAGAACCGTTATCTAATTCTGAAGATGAGCACCAGAAATTAAATTGGGTCTGCTTGAAGATCACTTTTAATCAATACCAAGTGACTTTTTGTCTTTGCTGAACAGTTTGAATGTTTTTCTCAGTAAATTAGCGTATACAGCTTCTAACAATATGTAAATCGTTGTATCTGAATGGTTTCTGGTGTCAGGGTGTGGTGACAGACCCTTCTTCACAGACAGCTCCCCCCTCCTCACAGGACGCCAGCGGGCAGCAGCCTTTATCAGTGGAGAACACAGATCATGCCACAGCCTACTCTTACCAGCAGAAGTGAGTGTTGTAAAGACATCTCTCTTTGTATTGCACACTTTCTGTAAACTTACCACAAAGGTATTACAGTATGTTTTTGATATATATCTCCTGTCTGTGTTGTTTAAGTTTATTTCCTTCATTGCTTTAATTGAAGAAAACAGTGGTGTCACTTAATATGCTATACATTTACAGGTGAATTAATCTGGACAAACACCTGGTAACTTTAAACAGATTCATGCAACTGTTTTCAGTTTTAGTTTTTTTTGTTAACGTGGAAATTAGTTTTGATAAGTGAATTCATAGTGACTTGTTATATTCTAATGGATCTTATGCTAAGCTTTAGTTCCCAGAATGTCAAACTAGTCATTCAAAGCCATTTCATTTAGCTTATGTGAGTGGAAAGACCTGGACAGAGAGAGAAACGGTCTCCTGTACCTTCAATTTTGACATTTTTCTTCATGAGTGTTTTCTGCGGGGCTATGATTCACAAGTTAGAACAACCATGTTGAATTGTGCCCATATATATTTAGCAACAGAACACTCCAGTTCTGGCAAACACAACGTGGAGCCAATTGTTTTTTTCGTGCCGAATCATGTTGAACTCTGCTTGCACAACACATTTATTTTCTTTCTTTTATTCTCCTTGTTGTCTGCCTCCTAGATAACCCACCGGTGGTTTCTTTTCCAAAAACAGCAGTCGGACAAAGGGCGTTGTGTCTGCAGGAGAAACTGTGACATTGTCCACTGTTTCCTCTGTTACCCTTTTTTCACTGACTTGTTTTCTGTCTCTTTAAGATAACAAGATAGTTGGGAATCGCTGCTGCATCGCCTTCAGAAGGACTGCACTGAGGCGCTGGACACACAGAGAGAATCCAAATGAAACAGGGACAAAAAAAGAGGTGACGTGGGCAACACTGAGGGGAGAATGCTTCCACTGTGCACATGCACCAAATAAAAGACAAAATGAAAAAAAAAATCTATTATATTTCCTACCTGGTCGAACGAAGAAAGAAAAAAGAAAGGCTGGTTTGCTGAACTCGAGGACAATGAAATCAAATGCAGTCTGCAACTTTGAGTTTATCATTTCTCACTGTGGGACTGGACTTTGCCTCCAAAGGAAAAAGAGAAGACATAAAGTGAAATCTAAACTCAACCAACAAGCTGTACAGAAAGAAAAAAAAGAACATTTGAATGTGCAGGTAGATTTTCAGACTTTTTTATTAAAAAAAAGAAGGAAGCAAAGTCTAGGGAAAAATAAACAGTTTGTCTTCCTTTGATATTAAGCTACATTATTTTCATTATTTTTATTATTTGAGTAGTTTTCTAGAATATCAATGTTTTCGTAAATCTTTATTGCCTTAATTTTCTCAAACTTTGGGGAAAAATAGTTTCCATAGTGTTGAATTATTATAAAAAAATAATGATGATTTGAGATTTTCTTGGAGAGTTCCAAGAGCGACCGAGATGAAATCTACAAAGCTATTTGTACAGGATTAAAAAAAAAAAAAAGGTTGTTATTGTATGAAGATGATTTTAAATTATGTGGTGCGGTGCAGCTGATGTTGGTTGATAGGGAAAAAAATCCTCTTTAATATGACTATTGGGAAGGGTCAATCCACTGCTTCCTGGAAAATGCAGTCAAGTTTAATGGGATAAAGGTTCTGTTATTCCATCACATTTGTATCTTTTGAGTTTTGATTGCAGCCTTTTTACCTTCAAAGACGTTTTTTGCTTTGCCTGCTTTGCTTGTCTCACTGCAAAAAAGAAAAGTTAAAAAAAAAGGAACAAATCTGACTTTGACAAAAGCAGAAAAAAACGCTAGGATTTTTAAATGTGCAAAAGCAATAGTTTTAGTAAAACTGTTGACAGTTTCTTGAGTCTTTCTTAAACGTTGAACAAAAGCAGCCAACAGGTGGCGTATTTTATACCAAAGATGAGGAAACTAGGTAGTGAAGAGATCTTCCTTGTGTTGCTTTTCCTTCATTTTTCACCTCCTTAAAACCTGAAACCGACCTGTCTTGCTTGTCATGCTGTTGGCCTTTGAGACGATTTTATCAGTCACATGTTGTGGGTCTGCTACACAACTGCCTCAACCAGAAGAGTGTGCTCTGAGACGTTTGTTGTTGTCATGTGATCAAACGTGGTGAGGATCCAAAGTGCGTTGGAACATCAGTGAGAGACCAGACACCCTGTGGCAATATGGCATGGAGAAAGTGGAGGAGGTTGTTATAATATTGGGAAGTTGGTATAGAACACTTTGGTGGTAAAGAGGCTGACATCCTGTGGAATATTGATTAAACCTGTACGCCCTACTACGCCTTCTTCAGGCTGCATTGACTAATCTTTACTCAAATGACTCCTAAATGCTGGTGTAGCTCATTACAACACTATTTTTTTAATCATTAGACTCAGTTTATACGTTTTACGCCAATGTCTTGCCAAACGCAAGCCTTTTCAAATGTGAGCAGGGCGAGGATCTATCTTAAAGAAAGGGCATTTCTGTTGAACAAATCATTTCAGCTTATGTATATTCTAAGAGGAAGAGGAGAGATATTTTGTTTTTCTATTTGTGTTACACTTTTTTTGAGAATTGATTACGTGTGAGCTGCTGTTATTAGGGATTGAGGTAGTTTTGTGTTGGGTGGGTCCAGAAGAGGAGACGGTGACAGAATGACATTTGGAGCCAAGATAGGGACAGTTTATTGTTATCCATGACTCAACTGCATTAAAAAACATTCTACAAGTCGGGTGCCTCTTTTCAAGTGTGAGAAAAGATAGGTTCCTTGTTGCAGCCCTATTATGAGATTAGGAATCTCTTTTTGAATAATAATAATAATAATCTGCATTATGTAATGCGTAAGAGGGCATCTGTTGAAAACGAAAACACCTCTATGGACATTAACTGGCACCTACTTGAGCCTCCATCAATGAAAATAAGCCAATGGAGGTGTGGGAACAGACGGACACACAGAAAATGCACGGTTCAACCAAAATCAAGCAGATATAAACCTCTATGGGAAAAATACATTATTGAAAGAAGAGAGAAAGTAGAGAAAGTGAGAACAAAAGTAATATTTATGAGATCTTTTTTTTTTGTACAGGTGTGTAAAAGAAGATGCAACAGAAATAACTTTGATGATGCTATTTTTTTATTTGCTTGATCACATGCATCCCATGTCTTTCAAATTGTGATTCTGAGAGTGTCTGTAGAACCAGTGGATATTGCTGTAGTTTCAACTGTCTCTTTTCTTTTTTGTTTCCTTTTTAGACAAATCTTTCAATAAAAAAATGTTTCAAACAGTCAATACTCATGTTGTTTAATCTGCAGGCACAACGTAGAACCACTAGAGTGCACTGCTGTGCACAGTATGAGTTACATGAGGAAGTCTGTGTGTGTGTTTAATCCATCACATCAGTTGCTTTTCATATGCAGTTACACTTAATGACTGAATATAGCCTGTACCCTGTACAACAATATCTACAGGGCCGCCCCACCCTACAGGCCGATCATGCAGACTGCGTGGGGCCTCACCTTGCGGAGGGGGCCTCATCTTGCGGAGGGTGCCTCAACTAAGCCGAAAATGCGGCGCACCTATGCGCTTATGCGCAGGCCCGCCTTAACCTGCCACCAGGCCCTGGGGCTGGGGTTTTGTAGGCCCCCTATTTAAACAACAAATCAAAGTAATTTATAGCCTCTGCAGGCTCTGTGAATAACACACACACACACACACACACACACACACACACACCTAATTCAGCACCATGAACAGCAACATATGGCCTCAATGCCAGGTATCAGTAGATGAGAATGATCATTATCTCCGGTGGATTAACACTAGTTATGTAAAACGATGCACAACACATTTAAACCTGCACAGGCTACTGGGAATCAATGAATAGTGCAGCATTGCCTTACCTCTTTATAAGTGCTTCTACGCTTCTGTTTTTCCTCTCCCGCTACTCCATCGCTATCAGAACCAGACATATGCCTACTGGCTCCGAGGCCCCGCGGCCGGCACCGGCGTCACCGCTGCCGCTCGGTACAGAACTCATCCGTCCTTCCTCCTCATCCTGGCCCAGACCCGCCAGGCCCTCCCATTTGACATTCCTGCCCTCCCCAAATAAACACGTTTTTTATTATTTATAAAAATTTTAAAAAGTTATTTAATTTGTTTTGATTATAAATAAACTGTGAACTTTAATGCAACGATGTATGTGATGTCAGATAGTAATATAAGAGTAATAAATGAAAAACAGGTATGAAATACTATATGACAGTAAAACAAGAATACAGTTTAAAAGGGGAGTGATTAGTAAAATATGTTCACATAATAAAATACACAATGGCTGTAGCCTGATCTATATTATATGCTTTAGGAGCTGTAGGTGCGTGTGGTGCAGTGTGTGTGTGTGTGTGTGTGTGTGTGTGTGTGTGTGTGTGTGTGTGTGTGTGTGTCATTTTCTCATTCGACACAGATGCTAACAAAGGAATTCATATTCAAACAGCCGTATTTCTTTTTTAACATACAGTATTTCCTCTGTTAAATAATAAATTAGATGTGTTAAATTGAATAGCATGCTGGATTAAAAAAAACTGTAATGTATCTAATGCTGCAACACGGAAGCTTTAATGTTATACACAGCCACAAAGGCACAGTAACAAGATAAAAGATTTATATTACATATCAGGACTAATAAAGACATTGCATTACAATCATGCATAATGATTGCGTACGATGCGTACAAAATGTCAGACACACACAAACGCACACACATCCATTCAATTCATGCTGTTTTCAGTCAGAAATTATTAATAGAAATACATTTGATCTGCTATACAATTAGATGTTTTGTAATTCCTTAGCTTATGTAACAAAACTATAACAGGGACCAAACAATAATTGAAAATATTCTAAACTCTATTTTCTAATACATGCTTTTCCTATGTTGGTAATGCTCTCAGTGTTCTGTTGCGGACTGATTCAGGCTCCGACCAAAAAGTAAAAAAAAAAAACTGTTGATATCAATGCTTAATATCTGTAAACTAGTCTCTGCTCATAGAAATGAGTCTCTCTTCAAAGGCTACGTATTAACATTATCAGACATTTTTCAGAATATATGTCAAACTCAGTAGTAGTGACTGAAAAGTGGAAATGTGTGGATTCCAATGTGATTGTCAGTGTCCTCAACACTTTATTTAAAATCGGGTGTAAATCGGTGTTTCTTACATATGGTACATATGAAATAATAACTTAGGAGTCTATTTAAGCATGGTATAGTTTATAATCTATTAATCGAGAAGACTCAGTATCACCTGTGTGCAGTTTACAAAAACCATTGTGATAAACATATATTATGCAGGAAATTGATACATTTGTTGAAAAACAAAGCTTATCTGATTTGGGAGGAAAAGTTTCATCCCTTTAACATCTGAGTTATTACTGAAGGCATAGCATGAATGATATTGGGTGTCTGAGGGTGTCATTACTGAGAAATGTCAAACAAAATCAAAACCTTACATTTGAAAACAGGTTTGCATTCCTCCACTTAAGGTGACGTTATCATTGGAAACAATAAAAGCTAATTGTTTTGATGGAGAATCTATAAATTGAATCGTTAGAGCAGAACAGAATGGTTGTATTGTAGCCTGAGTTTTGTGCAGCCTTCAGTTTTACCAGGTGGAAACATTGTCTATATAATGTGAATACATGTAGAACTAGACATTAAGAGACCCCTGACATTAGGCCTATTTGAAACAATAGTAGGGGCTTTTACCAGGTCGCCAACTTACAGGCATCCTCTGCATAGCAGTATGAATAGCCTTAAAAACAACCCACTCTGTGGTAACGAGAGTCATGTATCTGAACCAAATGCCCTAAGTGAAGCCGTTAGTCTCATCTGACTGACCCAAGGGTTGGTGCTGGTGTGACAGGGAGGCTTCCAAGTGTTCATAGCAGATGTCATGCTTTCAGTTCATGGCTCAGTGGGGGGGAGCAGACCCATGTGAGACAGTATCAACGGCTGTAATGTTCAGTTTGAGTAGTGTCATTCTCTCTGGGAGCAGGAAATGGTGTCCATTCAGACCAGACCATTAATGTCATGTAGAGCAGCCATAGCATCTCTGTGACTGCACTCAGCCGGACTGCAGCAGGGCAGAACAGGGTGACTTTTAGTGAAGCCGTCCAAGGCCATAGACAAAATGGAACCACGTACTAACAAAAGGGACACAAGGTCATCAATGTCTCTCTTTACCTTTAGCCTAATTGTAAAACAAATTAGTGGAAGAAATGTGGAACACTAATCCATCATCATGTGACATTTAGAGTTAATTTAAATAATTACTTATGGGTTGAAGTCAAATTAACATTAACATTAGAACTAAAGTCAGTCAAAATTGGACTTGCACGGATCAGAATCTAATCAATACACCATTTTCCCAGCTCTGTAATGAAAAGGATATCAAGATTAGGTACTTTACAGGAGTGATAAAACATCCACACATGCACACTTATCTTATTCTAGTAGAGATTAGAGGACAGGTCTAATGTTGTGAACAAAATGATCAAGTCAAAGTTATTTTATTTATTTTATCTTATGTACCACATTTAATTCAATAATTAATCTTAAATTACTAATAACTTTAAAGAAGGCAACAATTTACAATGTGGATAAGGTGACTACTTATCCAAAGTGTGTGGGTGTGTGTGTGTGTGTGTGGGTGTGTGAACAGCTTGTCTGCCCAAGGTTAAAACATTTGGGACAGCAGTGAGAATGTTATGAGAAACAATTTGTTGCTTCGACTGAACTCGAAAGAAGCTGAGATTAGAACATTTGAAATAAATCAAAACACTTGTACATTAATTAAATACATTTGACATTTAGCTTGAGCTGGGTTCAATACTTTCTTTATGGTATTTAAATTGGGCTCAAGTAGAACCTTTACATGGATTTGGCTTGCAACACAAAGTGATACCGATCTCTGTCTGTTATGATTTGAAAGTCTCATGATTTAAAGTGTAGGGCTGTGAAGGAGAGGCCCTTGGAAAACAACCTCTACTTCTTTGTTAACTGTAATTACTTATTGTAAAGAGATTGCAACATTATACTTTTTAAATAATTGCTCAATTCATTTAACACATTTATTATGCACACTGTAATGAAAACGTCAACAAATATATTGATCCTGGCTTAACCAGCGACCTTTACTCTTTTGTTCATAAACTCGGTTTCAGAAAACTTGTCAGTAGTTTAACAACTATTAGAATTTTAGTAATGTTTATGGAGACCAATTGGTTGATACGAGAAATCATTTTAAGCAGTTTAATAAAGAATGTTAAACTATATTTAAAACTGTAATTAAACTTCAACTTATATTAATTATCTGAATCCAGTGGCCAGTTGGAATAGATAATCAACAAAGTTTCCATTTTGCAGCAACAGCGCAAAAGGTTTCAACAATAATTTGTATTATGTCTGAGTCAAGTTCTGTCTTATCAGCTTTGTTTCGGAATGTGTTCAATACATTACGTTTTTTTCATTATTACCAAACAATACATAGATTTAAGAATAAATGAAACAAATAATACAATATTGACCTAAAACAGCAGACAGATTTTGCCACCCTGACCTCCTCAGGCAGGTCTTTACGACCAGCAGTGATGCCTCTGAGGGTCTCAGGGTGCAGGACGGGGCATAGGGTTTATAAAAGGTCACAAACATATCTTAACATACCAGCAATACAATTTAAGAATGTATTCTTAAAGTAATATTATCTTCTCTTCTTCTTACACCTACAGCGCACACCCTGAACAGTGTGCTCCTTGTTTACATTTCCTCTGCACACTCAGATGCAGCGCACACCCTGAACAGTGTGCTTCTTGTTTACATTTCCTCTGCACACTCAGATGCAGGACATAAAACACTCTTTTGCTATTTATTTTCATTTTGCAGCACATCTATACTACCAGAATTTTGCAAAACACTATATATTATTTATCTTTCTCAAGTCATTTACTTTTGGTGAGTTAACTAAAGCTTAGTTTATTTTACCCTGGCTATGGACTGATTCATTATTAGTTGTTACAAAACATGCACAAGACGGCGGTTAGACAAACCAATATAGACCCCTGATACAAACAATCAGACAAACAAACATGATGAACTCATAATAAACACCAGCGTGACAGCAAAAATTCATCCAGCTCAATTTAGTCCGGATTAAAGAGGTTTCAGAGGGGGTAGGGACTATTTGATCTCTCCCAATGGGAACCCAGTGGGGTACCTTGACTCGTACCTCCACCCTTGTATACAAGTCCTTAGATCGGTGCCTGAAGACCGTCCAAGAGCAATAACTAGCTTATCCTCTTGCGACTCCACTATCCCTGCTTTAGTGGTGCTATGCCCCCCCGATCAAGAGCACATAGACTTTTTTCCTCTACCCTTTCTATCCGAAACCACACAGTTAACTGTAGTCCTACTCGACCAGCCTATACACCTCCCATCATGCTCATCCCAACGATGAAACACAGTTCTGCTCTACACTTGCATACCACTGCCCACCCATGATCAATTAGCCTATAATTTTATGTATGCACCCCGGACCGACATCAGCTCCTCAGCAATGTAGGGAGCCTGTCGCATCAGGTAATGCACGCACCTCGCACCTGCCAGCACATCTCTGAATGTAAATGGCCACAAGCCACGAGAGTGCTTTTAAACAGTCTCGTTTTTAATAGAGACGGCGGTGGTGTGAGTTAAAGCTATAGACAAAAGCTGTGATTTTCTCCCTCTGAGTTCACGGCACCAGCTCATGCAGATACGGGGAGGCATTTGACACACATTCCCCGGAGCCGCAGCAGCTGGAGCCGTGTTTTTTTTAGAGGCGCTGGGGGTAATATCTCTGGCTGCTTTAGTTAACTGCTAGTGTTGGCCGCTGAAACCCCCGGAATCTCGGCGATTTGTTCATTACAAATCTCTATTTTGATTTCACACAGAAGTTCCACTTTACTGCTGCCCTCATTAAAGTCTTTTTAAACATCTCCGTGTATGCCTGCATGGCACATACGTCCCGAGCAGCACACACAGAGGGAACCAGCCAAGACAGAGTCCCTGGATGATCCCCTGGGGTTACTAGCCCCAAATGTTCATTAACCAAAACGAAACGCAGCCGCTTAGCTTCACAGATAATTTTAGGATACCGTCAATCACAGATTCTGGTAAGGCAATGTCCAAATGTAGATTTGAAATCACACTTACCAGTCTCTGAAGATATGTTGGTATCCTGCCGACAACGCCAATTTGTGGAGGAAACTTCTGTGTAGTAATGCATGGAGTCACCGACTCAGGAAGGAGACACGGTGAGTTGGAGCTTTGATGTCAAACACTGATGGGTTTATTCAGAGTATTCGGCCGGAGGATTCACATCACAAGTCAAAGAGTCAGAGGTTCTGACTACACGGTAGAGTTGCCACATCAATTCTGAAGAACCTCTCTCTATGCTAGACCTTTTAACAGGTTCACAGAGAATCAACATCTCTGAAGGAGTAGACTAAACACTGAATCATCTGCGTCCAACGCTCATGGCCTCAAGGATTTCACATCCGAGAGCCCACAAACACCGATAAAGAAATGCTTCAGTGTTCTCACAACAATTACCCTACGTGCCAGTCAAGTTGACCGGTCTCACACTGGGGACAACAACACATATGGCACCAAGGCCTTTCCTTAGAGGAGATAACATATGTCAGAGTAAAAGGTTAGATATCTAGAAGAATTATTCCTTAACAGGGTGTACTTGAGTCCATCCACTACACTAACTTATCTTATATACAGTATACAGTTCAAATAGCTTCTGTAAATGTATGATATTTCTACAACAATACTTTAGTCCTTTAAGAAAAGCTTCCTAGGGTGTGAACAACACATAGGCTAATATGACATAATGGGGAGGATTGGGAGGGTTACTTTAAAATGTAATCCGTTACAATAACTAGTTACATGTAAAAAAAATGTAATAACTAACCTATTCTGAGTATCAAAATATAAAAGTGATGTAATCTGTAATCAGATTACTTTCCGTTACCTTTGGATTACCTCAATATCAAATGTAGTTCAAATAAAAACAAGAACAAACAAATAACAATAAGGTGTTCTTTACTTAAGTGTATTTAACAATGATACCTTAAAAAATAAGAAACCAAGATATTTCACATCAAAAATGTAGTTATTTTCATTTTCATTTCAATCTTTATTTCGAACAGATTAAAAAAAATAACAAATAAAACATAACAAATGTGAAAAACAGAATACCGTATTGTTAAAATACAGTATTTATCCACATTCATGATAATATTTATATATTCAACAAAAAAAAGTCTTCATATTAATAATAATAATAAATCATATGTGTCCGAAAGGGAGCAGGAGGAAGCAAATGCTTATTAATTCCCACCCCTTACTTGATCAATGATTGTCCTTTAAATCATTATGCAAGTTATTCCTACTTACATTTACATTTATACATACATATACAATAATTTCAAATCTTCAATCACCTCTCTTCATTCTCATAGTTTTCCCAAAAAGTGTTTCTGTACATCCTTTTAAACTGAATTATGCATGTGCTTTGTTTTAACTCCTGCTCCAAACCATTCCATAAAATCACCCCACAGATTGTTATACTCATACTTCTCAGAGTTGTTCTGACCTTGAGTTGTTTAAAATGTAGATTTCCTCTCAAATTATACCCACCCTCTCTGTCTGTGTTACAGTAATAGTTTACAAATGCTGTTTAAGCTTCATACATTAATCAAAAGCATAGATTGTAATTTTGTTTAATAAATCAGGTGTCCATCTACTGCATTAAATAGGAAATGTTTTTAAAATAAAGAATAATTAAAGTAGCCTAAATCAGATCATAAAGAAAATGTATTCAGTACGTCTACCTATAATATATTTACATTTATTTCAAAATATATTCTAACACTGTAATCCTGTTAGTAATCTTTTTTTGCGCAAGTAATTGTAATATAATTCAGATACCTTTTTTTAGTATCCTGATGACGTAATCTTGTTACATGTCGCCCGTTACTCCCCAAGCTTTGTTATTGATAAAACAACACAAAGACTAGTTGTAAAAATAAATAAGTGACAGTTGACTGCTGTCCTATACTTATTATAAAATATGATTAAAATTGATATTTTGCAAATATAAAAATCAATATGTGGAACATGTATTTGCTAAATCATAATGAGACAATTGCACATAGCACATTGAATACATTGTTTATTAGGGAGGTTTTCATTCATTAAATGGGGAGTGTTGATGTGCACCACTGGTTTTCAATGAGGTCATTCACTATGTGATATCAAAAAAAGATTATTAGCAGGATTACAGAGTTAGGTACAGTATATTTTAAAACACTGGCTTTGGCAAAGTGCTACCATTTAGCTTGTAAAAGTGGAACCATACAGTGCAACTACATGTATAATACAGGGGAATCAACAGAATCAATCAGTGATTCAGTTGCTCATGCTTCTTCTTTTTTTACACAATGTTCGACAAGAACAGGCACGTCGAAATTCCCGGGTGCTCTTTCATTATCTCTGCAGCATTCATAGACCACTGTGTCACCAGTTTTTGCATCCTTTTACTTACCCTGTGTGTCAATTGTAACATTTTGAAAGTCTTCTTTGGATACGTTTTTTACCGTTTTATTATAACCAGTCTATTCAAAGTCACTAACGGGATACACTGGAGATGATTTTATTTCATTTTTGAGTCTCTTACGTTTTTATAAACCCTCACAATTGACACAGATGGCAGTTAAAGGCACAAACTAGAAAATTCCCCTTAGTTACTTTCGGCGCAATTGTCTTGGCAGGCACATGCTGCTGTAGTGCTCTCCTTCTAGTTAAAGGATAACAGCAACCCACAAGGCTTCTAATGGCCATTCCCTTTCTCACACTTCTCTCAGTAGCAGGTGCGAATGAGGAAGATGAAAACTAAAACAACAGTTATGATGATGAGTGCTGAAAATAGAAAGATAAGACCGGCAAACAGGGGATCTGTCATGGGGAGGATTTCTTTCACTTCAGACGGGATCATGTTGGACAAAGTCAGCATGTAACCCAAACTCCAACCAATGTTGGTGTCCTTTACCTGGAGAGAGAAGAGAGGAGAAGAGTTCTCATAATGATTTGGTCACAGTGAATCTGAATGATGTACACAGTATTTTTCAATGCATCTAATACATCATCGTTGCATGTCTATAGAGATGTTGATAATATTAAACGTTCCTGTTGTGTATAGTTCACAATTACAGCTCTAGGGCAAAAGATGAGTAATAACACCCTGACATCATCCCTGTTTATAACCCAAATGTCTCTGTGCTGTAATTTCCTCTGAAAGGACCTGCCCAACCACCAGACTCCTAGTCACCCTTCAGGCGCTCAACAGCACACTGACCCTCTTGTTGGCTGCATTGACGATTTGGAGCATCGCCAGCTGTTAAGGAACATTCTTGTGTTCAAGTCTGAAGTTTAAACCGCCATGCAATTTGGAAACTACGGCTGTAATGTGCGGCTTTTCCACAGCTACTGTCTTCATGACTCATGTCTTATAGATTGTGTGTTCCAGAACAGGAATCCCCTTCTGTTCAGGGAGTTCCATTGTTAAAGCTGCTCCCTGTCCTCAAGGCATCCCGCAGAAATACATTGGCTGTCTTTCATGCTACCCTCAACCTTTTGACTGCAGATGATTGGTATGTCTGCCGTTTATCTCTTGGGTGGCCTATGCTAACCGCCTGTGACTCAGATATGTTGGCAGCTAAAGCATATAAACTCTCATTAAATTGCCAAAGGTATATTCTGATAGTTTTGTTAAAACAAACCTATTTTTTGAAATAGAAAATAAAGAAATGTGATATGTGTGCTTCATAGCCGTGTAAAGAACAGCAGTAGTAGCAAGCGGTGTAGTGGAGTTTATTTTGTTCAACCAACCTCTTTTTGGAAGTTAATGTTTTTCCACGTTTCTTTGTCAAACTTGTATCCGTCTGCCAGCAAAGTGAACACATAGTGAGATGAAAAACAATAGGTCCTAAGGTATCTGTCACTGATCCCAGTCTTCTCTTCCTTCAACTGTAAGAAAGAAAACAGAGATCAAGAAAGTGTCCAGTGATAGAAAGAGGAAGAATTCAAATGTATTATGTAATAAATACATGTATCAGCCCATTTGATTGCCATTATCAGTGGTTAACAGCCTCAGTGGGTTAAACTACAACATTTACAAGGTTGTTGTAATCTCATTGAAGGAGTCAGGCACCTTTTTAGGAAAAGCAACATATAACACCTCAGGGAGCAGGTCAGGGTGAAATCATGGGTCAATAAACACTGGACTTTAACCAGGGAGCCCAGTGATTGTGGCTGATAAAACTTATTTGAAGTAACAACACACTGATGACACACACATGATCTTTTCCTAAACCTCTCCAGGTAGTTTTGCTTTCTAAAGCTGTCTTAATGTCCAACATTAAGCACTTGTTGCAAAATACTACCATTAAGTTTCACCTATTGTTATAGCAACATGCGAGTAAACGCTGGGTGCTCATTCACCTCGTCTTAACCTTTCAAATGTTAGTATTGAGAACTGATAATGGCCATTCAATGAGTTGATAACATTATTGTAAGTAGGAATCCCCAAATCCCTGAGCTGATCAGTCAAAAATAACAAAATCCACCAAGGATGTGTAAGTGTATATGTTTATATGTATGTGTTCCACAAAGTTGTTTCCTTTGTGAGTTAAGCTTCAGTTTTGACATGGTGTTTTGATGAGAGCACAGCTTGGATCATCTCCAGGTGTTTATCTTAAATCAGTTATTTTGCCCTAGGGAAAAAACTCTTCTTACTTCCTCATAAGCAGATTTATTGTGGAATGTGGTTGGCCGTTGTGCTTTACGTGCTACAGTTTGCCACACCACTGTATATGTTCTCTAATTTTTCTACTTGTTTGCTCTTCCCACAATTCACTTTGTCTTTACAATATTAAATTATTGTTCTTCTCTTTTTACCCTCCTGTTCCACATTTTCTCCTCCTATTATTACTTAAGCTTTATACCAATTGAAAACACTTACCACCGTCCACTTTTCTTCGCAGAATTGAGTACATGAAGCATTGAATTGATCGAGATCGGATTTCCCTTCCAACCCAATCGCCTTACTAGTATAGAAGAATCCTGCATATGCCTGGCAGAAACAGTAAAGACAAATCATAAGTTGCTTTCATTTTCATCTCTCTTCTTGCACATGTTTTATTTGCTCTCTGTGTTACCATAAATTCTCCAGTGACTGGTGGCTGCTCGACCCCATTGAAGGAACACTGGGTTGAAGAACATGTCTGGAAATCAAAGATCCTCTTCACCATGCTTAGGCACATGTCCGAGTTGCCAGTACCCACAAAGAAGAGTTGTTGATCTGGTTTGTAGTCGTTTGGTATCTTAGTGCACTGTGTGTCATAAATGGATGATGCGCTCAAGGTGACGTTGTAACCCTTAGGGTAGCATGGGTTAGGAATGTAGTTTAGGTGAGATGACTCCTGGGATATGAGGAGAAGAAGGTACATGTCAAAAGAAATAATGTAGGATGAAGAAGAAATAAAACTATGAGATACAGTAGAGGGGACATGGGGGTTGAGATAAGAGGGTTTGACAACATTCTTACTAACAGACATCATCTAAATATACAAACCAGGAATTATTTACTTATTAATTAAACATGAACACATGCAGATACTGATGTACATACATGCTTTTATGTTAGCATTTACAGGACACTCCTGCAAATGTATACCCATAACACATTCTCACTTTTAGGCTTATGTATCCTGCGCCAATTACTATATATGAAGAATCTATAGGCTACCAGAAATAATGCATTTCTAGCAGACTTGTTTGAGTACTTTCGCACTTCGATCAATATTCTTAATTACATAATGCATTCTTGACTGGTCTCCCCTTGCCTGTTAGCAATTCAGGGACATAAGCGTTCACTAATCAATTCTTAAATGGGCATTAATGGAATTTGGCCTGTACATGCATGCAAAAGAAAAACAACCTACATTTCCACTGCCACATGCACCAGGAACACAAACAAGCATTTAAACATGAACATAGGAAGGGAACTCAGAAAAGACCAAAGGATAAGCTGTGTACCCGCACTACTTTGTCCAGAACCATCTTCCCAGCCTCATTTTTGCCATAGCAGAGGAAACTGTGTGTGTAGACATTGTAAGGGTAACCGTACAGTTTGACAGGTAAGTAGTCCGGCCCACTGAGATTACTCTGGACAGCAAATGCGATCTGTGTTGAAGCTCCACCAAGGTCCATGGACCCTACAGTCTTTTCCCCTTGAGGGCGCACATATTTGTTCCATGTGTTTTTCTGTAAATATAAGGTGATTAATTAGTACAGCATATGAAAAACCATGTGATCACCCTTTTGGTAAATTGGCATTCTTTTTTTCAAGTTTAACGAAAGAATCCACCCACGATATGACTATTTACTCACCCTGTCTTACCTGGAATTATTTACGAAAACTGGCAATGAGGAGTAGTGCATTTTATATAGGCCGACTATTTAAAAGAGACATGGATTACACTTCATCAGTTGTGTGGGAGTTTGTAACAGGTCTTTTTATATACATATTTTGAACTTTTTATATCAACACATTCTCACTCCCAACTCGGTCTATGTTTACGTTATGTCAAGGTCCCTGTCGTCACTTTCCAACGCAAGGGGGCCCTTTAGCGTCGAGTTTCAACTATCAGAGAGTCCCATTGACTTGCATAGAGCTCCCTGAACGTTGGTAATAGACGAGTTGGGATCGCGGCGAAATGCTCTCCGCAGATCGATTCTCACAGCGTTTATCAACCTTTTTTTAACTCAATATCAAGCCAAACTTATTGTTTTTACTTCTTTATTTTAATTGAATAATGTAGGACTTTTGTTGCCGTCAGTTATGGGGAGAGTAGGGGCTCAGAATACTGAAATCTGTATTGTTTCATCGTTTTTTCCTTCTAATTTTGTATTCTTTTCTAACTACACACTGTTATTTACTCAACAATAAGACACAATTATCCTTGTGTTTATTTATTTGTTTGATTAATAAACACAAGTTGGAGTCCGTCAGGACCGAGGGTCGGAGCAGCTCATTCGAACACAGGAAGCTGTATTTTCAAAATAAGAGTTCATTTTAATATTATGTTTGATAATATATTTTTTATTAACTAGACCACTGGGTCATGTTAAGACCATCTTTTCTGTCGGTTTGGTGTTACAAATATAAAAACAATATATGTGTGGATAACAAAATACATCCACCATAAACTAAACTGGAAACAGCAGTATATTTTATTGTGTTAACACTATAAACACAGTGAGTGCTTTAACCGCCTAGTGGTTAAAGCATGTTATTGAATTTTTTTGTTGATACGTTATATTTGATGAAAACATACAAATATTAAGAGTACATACTTTCATAGGGGGAAAGTAAAAGGTCAATGATAGAAATATAGAATAGAACATATCAATAAGATACTGTAAGTGATCTCTACAATAAAACAGTTTAGTGCAGGACGTCCAAAGATATTAATAGGAGGATGTGCAAAACAGACAAACTAATTAGGCTTTATTTAAACATTAAAGAATACTTTAGGTTAAGGTCTTATTTTGAATAAGAAAAAAGCTTTGGGGGTATCAACAGATAAATATTAAGCCTGACAAAGTACTTAACGTCTAATATATTGCATAATTCGTTTTGGGACTTGGCAATCAACTTTCCTGCAATGTTAACTATGTTGAAGCACTTATTTTAACTGATATTATACATATGTATTAAACTCTTATAAGATGTTTGTAGATAGAATAAGAAATGTGCAGAATATGACAGTTTAATGGTGGAGGTATACACATATCGATAGATGTCTTGTAATGCACTGTTGAGGAACCTGCGACCCAAGTTTTTCATCTCTGACCTTGTCAGGTATTGAACATTCAATAAATAAAGAACACAGAATTATTCAATATAAAACACAGAATTTGTGTGATTATACTAAATAATTTACTGTTACACATGCTGCTGTAACGAAAACATTTCCAACTTGGGATCAATAAAGTATATCTTATCTTAAGACGATCGATGGCTACTGCCATATTTGCAAAATGTGCCTCTGAACCTTGACAAGTGCATGTTTCAGGTTTATCAATGAACAACAGGAGGGGTCACAGACATAAGACCAGCTGTTAAATAAAGCTCTTCTGACCTTAGCTGTCATGTGGGTATATTAATGCTGCCCATTATGGAGACAAGCAATTTTCACCCATTTATTAATTATATGTTTTAAATTTGAGTGTTTCCTATCCCCTAAACCTCCAGGGATGTACACAGTTTAATACTGGCAACTTCTAATTGTGGGAAATACGAAAACGTCTTTTAAAACTACAATTCCCAGCAGAGACGTGCCATAGAACATGTTGCGAAACACACAATAGCCAGCATGTGTAGTTCTGGGGACGGGGTGGGGGAGGGGGGGACGGTGTGCGTTCAAATCCAGTTTTGGACAGTCTGCCGTGATTCCATCCCATTTCAAAGTGCTGTTCGACGCTCGGCGTAACCCTCGGCGCACACTCAAACATCCAATCACAGAGCTTGAGGACTAATCACGGGGTTTGTCAAGCGAAGCGGAGAGAATACTTACTTCCGGGTGTAAAATTCTCTAAAGCAACTACTATGAGCTGCTCCGACCCTCGGTCCTGACGGACTCCAACTTGTGTTTATTAATCAAACAAATAAATAAACACAAGGATAATTGTGTCTTATTGTTGAGTAAATAACAGTGTGTAGTTAGAAAATAATACAAAATTAGAAGAAAAAAACGATGAAACAATACAGATTTCAGTATTCTGAGCCCCGTACTCTCCCCATAACTGACGGCAACAAAAGCCCGAAATTATTCAATTAAAATAAAGAAGTAAAAACAATAAGTGTGGCTTGATATTGAGTAAGAAAAAGGTTGATAAACGCTGTGAGAATCGATCTGCGGAGAGCATTTCTCCGCGATCCCAACTCGTCTATTACCAACGTTCAGGGAGCTCTATGCAAGTCAATGGGACTCCCTGATAGTTGAAACTTGACGCTAAAGGGCCCCCCCTTGCGTTGGAAAGTGACGACAGGGACCCTGACATAACGTCAACATAGGCCGAGCTGGGAGTGAGAATGTGTTGTTTATATACGTACTTTGAATTTTGTTTAATGGGGCAGCCATTTACTTCTAATCAATTAGACTTTTGTTTTTTATTCTTCATTCACTGTAGAGTTAGTAAAGAGTAGTAGTAGTAAAAAACAAGAACTCAATGCAGGGTGAAAAATGATATACACATGGTCATTTTGTGGGTGTAATATCCCTTGAAAATGATAAGTACACTTGGACCAGATAGATCAATGCCAGTGGCCTTACCTCTAGTAAGTTCCCCATCAGGTAGTTGACAGTAATCCACCCATACAGCCCTTCTTCTTGTCCAGAAATAATGGAAGCGTTTTGGAAGACGAAAGGCAGAGACGACAGGTATTCCCTAAGATCTTCCATGATTTCACTTGACCTCTGTTTGTTCTCTTGCCTAGAGTGAGATAATCAGATTGTTACTCTGGTGTATGTATGCTACAGTACATGTGAAGCTAGCGCTGGCCAGGAGGAGGTTAGCTTGGCTTAACATGGAGACTGAAAGGAAGAGGAAATAGCCATTGACCTGTGCCTCAGAGGGCTTTGGGAAGAATTATGTGGTGCATGAATGGGTTTAAATTGCTCTGATCCTTCTGGCATAGTAAGTAATGTCAAGAGAATATCCTGTGTTTAACTTATTTCAACACGTTCTTACTGTAGCAGTCTCATTCCAGCAGTTGCTCCTAGAAAAAGAGTTGTGGTTTTGCATTTTTCAGCAGGAATGGCTTCGGTGATGTCTTTAATGCACACTTTAAATGCCGCCATTGACTTGGCATCTTTTTCCTTGTCAACTTTCATCTCGGAGATACCATCACCTGTAGGAACAGGGCCAAGCTAAAATCATATTCTCAAGCACAGTTACAAAGATATCAACTGACTACCATATACGTCTGTAATAAAACTGTTATTACTATAGGATAACAGAATGAAAAATCATTGTTGGAAAGCAGTAATGGGCTTAGGAAAAGTTTGAGCCAACGGGATAACAGTATGCATTGATAAAGGTCTCTGAGCAGGGTAAGGTAAACAGGGTGATAATTATTTAAAATGAAAAAGAAAAGTTATGTAATGTTGATCCCAGCAATGACCCATTTAGTGAGAACGAAGAGTTGAATTGTATACAAATTATGAGTTTTAGGTTATTTTGATATATAGTTAACTTATTCATATCAGATTCAGATTCAGTTTTAATACAGATGTAATAAAAGTAAAACCTTCTGGCCGTGTTTAAGATGTATTATTCAAACAGAGTATTTTAAAATGCTCACTATGACTTTTGTCAATGTTCTCTTTTCTAACTTAATTCTTGAAAATGTAAAACTATTAAGTACAGAAGATGAATTTTTTTATAGACCATGACTCACCGGCAACTTTACAGTTCATTTGCTCAGTCACCACTCCTGTTTCATTTTCTTTCTCCCCCGGCCACTTGTACAGGTAAATATTGGAACGTGATGAACCTGAGTCTATCACGATGCCATACTGAAAAGAAAAACTAATTGTTACTGGTCCACATGTTTAATTTCCTTTTGACCTGATTTACCCTCTACCTTGATTAGTTAAATACACCTAATGAAGAGGTTTGTATGTGTATATATTAGGGCTGTCAGTCGATTAAAATAGTTAATCGCGATTAATCGCATGATTGTCCATAGTTAATCGCGATTAATCGCAAATTAATCGCACATTTTTTATCTGTTCTAAATGTACCTTAGAGGGATATCTTTCAAGTTTTTAATACTCTTATCAACATATGAGTGGACAAATATGCTTTATATGTTTGTTTATTATCATTTGAACAATGACAAATATTCTCATGAATATTAAACACAACAACCTGAACATTACAAATATTCGCCTCAATTCAACCTGGAACCTCTTTCATACAATAATAGTGTGAGTGTGTGTGTGTGTGTGTGTGTGTGTGTGTGTGTGTGTGTGTGTGTGTGTGTGTGTGTGTGTGTGTGTGTGTGTGTGTGTGTGTGTGTGTGTGTAGACACTGTGATGAATCATTGGAGCTATGTGCAGCTCAAGGCATATATGCTCGAATGGGAGCTACCTGGACGCTGCAATCATGTTGCGCGTACTATCCGTGCTGAGTGTGCTGACTTTTCGTACAATGTCCCACTGTCTGGCTACCTGCATAAAGTCAAGTGCTCGGCGCAGTTGTCGGCGAAATGTCATTGAAACAGCTCCTTAAATCCGTTAGCGCAGCTAGCTAGCACCAGATGCTAACAACAACAACACGTAAGGTGTGCCTCGCTCGCGCGAGTCGCGCCACACATACACACTCCCTCCCGGTCCTCCCGATGGCCAGTCCGGGCCTGCCGGTGAGCGTGGAAGTGTGGTCTGCCACAAGCGGGCGGCAGGAGCGAGGCTGTCAGCATCAGCTTGTCGATGGTATTTTACACTCGATGCGCTCTGAAACTACGGCGGCCGAGGACAAAAAATACACATGCGTTAATCGCGTTAAAATAATTAGTGGCGTTCATTTTTTTTTTGCGTTAACGCGTTATTAACGCGTTAACTTGACAGCCCTAGTATATATATATATATATATATATAGAGAGAGAGAGAGCTGAGACTATAAACATTCAATTAAACTATAAAGAGGCTGTTGTTACCCTGTCCACCCCTGAAAAAACACATTGTCAGTGTCACTGACTGATGACCCCTTTCAATGGAAATTACCCTAACATCTGGAAACCATCTGGCATCACATTCACATAATGAGAGTGTTGGTGATCTGAAGGGTTTGTAAACCAGTTCTTGTCCCTCTCTCTGTATTGAGAACTGTTTTGTTCTTTGTTGAATTGAGGAAGATCTGCAGCCAAATAGTGCACAGATTGATGGGACCATCCATTGTGTGTGTTCATGTTTACCTCATAGCTGTAGTCGTTGAACCTCCAGGTGTCCTGGATGACAGCAACAGCAACTAGGGCGGCAACGCTGGCCAAGAGGAGAAGCAGCACTCCTGCTATGCAACATTTGTAGCCAATTGGCTGTTTGGAAGCCATTTCCTGTGAACAAGGAATGTGGGTTTTTAAAAAAAAGGGGGGGAAAAAAGTGTTCTCACTAAAAGCATTTGAGCACTCAAAGTGATTACATGAGGAGAGGTTTGAGCAATGACGAGCAATAATAGAATAAAAACACATTAGCAGTATTGATGGACTAAGTATGACCACCAGGTTTATCGAAAACATACACAAATATAACTGGAAACAGAATCATGAGGAAAATTGTGGATTGGCTGTCTGAAGATTTTCTTTTTTTGTCTTGTTCAGTTTAAATGTATACCTTTATTCCAGGCAATGATAATCTTATGAGATACTTTAATCCCATAAGATTATCTTTGAGCTATACATACAAAGCAATGGAATGAAATGGGAAGTTTTTGTATGATCTGTAGAGGAGAATATAGGCCTCTTTCAGCTTCAGATTCTTTGAAGAAAGTGAACTGTGGATTTGGGGTTTGATATAAGAGATATTATAGAGGGTGTCAGTGCTTTCCAAAGTTAAGGGAAGCGTTTTTCAAGGGCAAGAAGTGAGCACAGACTCAAAGGCCAATGCTTTAATTCAACAGCCAACTAGAAAATGTTCTGCTCATGAAAGCCTTACATGATATTTAGCCTTGACGTTTTGGTTGTGATGTTTGTATAAACTCCAACACAATATGACATATGACTACCACATTTCAATATTGCACAAACCAAAAGGGAAATCTGCTGATCATTAGGTTTGTTTTGTTTTAAACTCTACTTTATGGCTATGATGAAACAAAAAGACCTTGAGTACAAACACTCAGAACAAAGGAACTTGATGTCAAACATCCGGCAATGGAAAAATCCTAACCTCAGATAAACTATTTTTCACTCAGATTTGGATCTTGTTAATAAACATAGCATGCTCTGTTTGAGCTTCAAGTTTTTGCTGAATTGCAGAAAACAGTGTTTCACGCCAGATCCACCATATGTGCTTTGGAGGAGAAAAGCACTTAAAACCACCATATGTGCTTTGGAGGAGGAAAGTCACACAAGACCAGAATCACACAAGCATTTCTCCAGTATTTCAGTAAAATGCATTATTGATGCATTAACAGTTCACACACAAACTTTGAACAGCAGCTGCTTGTGATCTGAATGTGTGCAAACTCTAAAAAAATTATTTATAAATTATCTGGTTTATTCCCTTTTCCTTTCATGCTGTCAATTCTATACTTTTTACATTTTGCTAGTATCATTGGTATCAAGGTTCAAGGTTCAAGACTTTTATTAGTCATACGTACATAGCTACAGTGTAGTTATGACGATGAAAATGTTAGGTCACAGGCTCTTCCAACAGTGCAACACAATAAAACAGAAAAAACAGAAAAAATAGTGCAAGTAAATACAAAAAGAAAAATAGTAAAATAGTGAAATAGTGAAATAGTGCAATAAGAGTCTATAAACAAGTGATTGGAATATGATATATTAGATACATAATTTCTAAGTTGCAGCCAGATGAAAGTTATGGATGTTGTTTCAAAATAAGACTATTAAACACCTGAACTTTTGAATGGCAGCTCCGTACTGGTGATGTGCTGTGCAGTTTTCACTGTGTATGGTGATAATTTATACTTAAAACAACAACTAAGCTTAGCAATGTCATGCTATGTAATTTCTTCATTTGTATAGCATACATTTCTTTCATAGTCATTAAAATAACAATCAATGGCACAGCAACGGATGATACCATCCTGTGCTTTAACTGGTTGTCTTTATGGCAATGGGAGGTCATAAATGGATGCAACCTACTAGTTACAACCTTGTGTCAGTCTTCAGTTATTAGATAGTACTGTCTCAGCCCTGTCATTATCAGACTGACAAACATTTGGTACGCTGCAACACAATTCTCCCCCCTCTTTCTTTTCCCCTCTTTATTTCTTACTTTAATCATCTTTTAAGCTGTGTAAACCCCAAATAAATATTTGACACCTCTGTTTTCAGTAGAGTGTAACAAGCCAGCAGCAACAGGATATTTGTTGATCTTTTACATCACGGCATTTACAGTCACCACGGCAACTCCAGGTGAAAACACCCAGGTAAACACTGCCAGACAAGTTGTGATTAAAACCTGAAGAAATGTCAACAAACATGTCTCAGACCATCCTCAGACGCAGATTTAGTCGGCTCAACAATTTTGTGTGTCTTTGTTGGTGTTTTATATATGAAATGTATATATTTTTGTGTTTTATTTTTATAGCGATTAATGGCTTTTTCCAAGGCTTGTGATACACATGGACTTGAGGGGGTAGAAAGATAAGAAAGATAAGAAAAACGAAAGAAATCAGAGCTGATTTACGATTGCTTTTCTGCTCTCTAATATTTAAGCTTTTTCTCTGTAACCCGAAGATTTAAATATGTGCTTCAGTATAATGAGTTTGGCGTTTACGGTTGCTGTGTGCCCAAGAAAAAAATATCAATATGCTGTTTTTGAAATCTAGTTAACCATTTCTTAATCATTTGCACCATGAAGAAAGAGAAACATGTCTAAAAGCGCACGGGAACATGAGCTCATTGATCTCTGACTTCACTGGCCAGCTGCTTTACTACAGCTAAAGAAGGGGTAATTCAGGTTTGTGTCTCTATTATATGAACAGTATTTCTTCTCAATATGATTTGACAGATATATTTTTTTCCTTCCATAAAACATTACATCACAAATACTGAAATGTGGAGACACTCACAGTTGAAGCAAGTGAGCTAAGAAGAGACGGGCAACTTGTTTTTAGAATTGTTTTAAGTAAATTCCTGTAATTTGCCTTTATCTCTATACTCTGTATTTTATCTTAGTTTATTTCTTGTAAGAATAGTTTTCATCTAAAAAAGTAAAATAAGAGCAAAGCAGCAATATGTTTCATATAATTGGACATAATATATTGTGATATTACACCGAAAACTGTTTTGCATTCAATAGATGCAGTTCTCTGTTATCCAGCCCTATGCACAACCACACCCCTATTACAGTTCATTTGTGCACAAGGTAAACAAATTACACAATACCGCAAACAAAGTTATCTAAAGTATTTCCTTTACATATGCATAGCAAGAATTAACACCCACATCACCCCTGCAAGAACATTTGAACATGTAGCCTCTGCTTGTGGGGACTGGTCCTCATGAGTAAAGGAGTGTGTGTTGAAACATGTCCACACACCCATATAGCATAATCACAGGAGATAAACCCAGTGAAAGTAAAGCAGTCTTAACTGTGTTTGAAATATTCTAGAGTGTTGTGTGTGCTAAATAAATATGTATGCATGTGAAGGAAAGTAGCTTTGTTTGTTTCTTACCTTGAAGAGCTGGTTTGTGGATCCTGGTTGGATCCTAGTGAGGTGGCTCTGAAGGAAGGATGAAGAAACACAGCAGGAAACAAGGGATCAGCAGAGGGAGGGAGAGGAAGATAGAGAGTCAGTTGTGAGCGTGGGCGAGTGATTTTCCCACAGGAGCAGGAGCTGTTGTACCCCAACACAACTGAGATAGTGAGGGAGGGAGGAAACATGGGAGGAGCAATGTGGGGAAACTCTAGTTTTCACCAATCCCATTGCACTGAAGACACACAGCAAGCAGCCCGTAGGAGCAGGCAGGGAATGATGCAGGGCTTGTTCCTCGCTCACTGTCTTTGTGTAATGATTTAGCACAGATTAAGGTGTTGTTGTGTATGCATAACATAATGTAATAAGGGAGAAGTTGACTAGGGTTGAAGTTAATTGATGTAATCAATAAGATAAAGTGCAATGTGGTTGAGTATCTGCTGCACACGTTATCACAAAGTCAGCTCTTATTTGACAGGCCTGAATTAAAGGTAAGTGCGATGAAAAGTAGAGGATCAAGCACTGTACCAACAAACATGGATGTGTTGGTACCTGCAAGCTCCAAATTTAAAGGAGAACTCAAGTTCTCACAGTAAAATCCATGAGTCATTCATTTTGCAAATGAATGGATGATTGTGCTGTAATCCAGTGTTTTTTTTGCTTACAGCGTAATTTTCATTGTGTCTGTGCGTGTGTGAGTACTTGTATTTGCACGCAGGGATGTGACTGTATTTTTTTATATTTGATCAAAACATGCTGGATTTGACTTTTTAGTCAAAATCACATACTGTAAGGAGGTGGAGGGTCCTCTAAATGCATCACCCTTCAAAGTCCAGATTGTTGGCCAAAACAACTTCAACCAGTTTCAACATCATATCTAAACAATCATACATTCTATTTTACAAAACACTCTATTTAAATGTATGTTATCCAATGTAGCGCTCACTATTTCACTCTTTTCTTTACATACCCCATAGTTTCCAACCTTGTCTTTTATGCTTTATTTTCACAGGCCAATACAGGAAGTATTAACGTTCTTAAGTGCATCCAGGAAAATAACTCAAGTAAAAATCAACCTAAGCATGTCAGCTTGGAGACTACACTTCAAGAATGAAGCATGACGTTTTAAAGCTACAAAAGTTTACCAGGCAGAAAGGGTCCAATTTAAAACTTTGGTAAAAAGGTACCAAAAGGCAGGATATATCAGCCTCAGGGGCTGCTTTTGACATTTCTTTTTCAAAATCATGGGAGTAACGCTAAAGACCTGGAGGGCACTCTTAACAAGGTAATTGCTGTAATACACTTTAATACAATAATGAAACCTAACCCAGCTTCAGTTGCAATGAATGAACATTTTATTGGAGACAAACTCTTTGTGAATGTCCCGTATGAAAAATAGAGCATACAGTATATATATATTTTTTGTGTTAATGTTCAATTAGGTTTGATTTTTAAATGTTTTTCATTAATGCAATAGTTTGCATTTGAATGTTATTCTTAGTGGGTGTAGCTATTGCATTCACACACTCAAGCTCAGGCTCCACAGGGATCTAAATGAAATAGCTTAGACTGAGCTCAGTCGGTCATATTGTTCACCCAGGTATCCAAAGGCTCAGCTGTGTGTTAACTGCTCCTCTGAGTTGAGAGTAAACTAGGAATGTGAACATCTGGTGCTCGATCCTGTACTTGGCCCATGTCATATTTTGTATTTGTCATATTTGCTTTTACAATGACTTTAAGTTGCTGCAGTGCTTCCTATCGATGTGGCTGCTCTATATTTCTGGTGAATTCCTAAACATTTCAGCACGTCGGTGGTCTACTGGTTATCTGGACTGTCTACAAAGAACACACTTATGGGGCCAGTCATAAGTGAATTACTTGTCTGATTCAGTTCTCAGAGAGTGAAGATAAAGTATTTTTAGCTGCCCAAAGTGAGACCTGAAACCTGCTGGTCTGAATGAAGCGGACGGACAGGACGCTGAAAATTGGATTTGTACAGAGAGAGGAAATAGAAGAGAGACAGAGAGCTCCTACTTAACTTGATGTGCTTCACGCCTCCTGAATATAGATTGCATTACATTTCTGTAGTACTTCAAACCTGTTAGATACAGAGGTGTGTCCTTTCTTGTATTGCTGACATTTATTTGAAAACTGCTCTGTACTTGTACTAATTTGAGAATTAACAAACAGAAGTAAGAAAGAAGATGAGGGGATCAACTTTGGGAAGTTCTTTCACAAGACAGGTGAGAGCAATATCTTTGTTGAATGCAGTTGTTATATTGTGCTGGAACACAAAGTAATGTCATTCACCTCAAAGCCTGTTGAAAGATATCTATGTCTAAGAACATTTTAGCAAAACAACAAAAGAAAATCCACCAGCAAAGGGAAATAAGCGACAGCTGGTATTCCTGAGGGAACTCATGTGTAACAAATATGAAATTATACACACATTAAACAAATAACAAGGATTTTCACTGTACATTATTATCAACACATAAATCAATCTGCACAGGGGAGGTTTTTTATTCAGATGCTATGGACACCGGCCCAATGCTTCAGACTCCTATTAATAAAATCTAGGCAGTTAAGCTGTAATATCCTTTAAAGCTACTCCATTATATACTTATTATAAACAGTAAAGCTAGGTCTGAGTTGCCTATTGTTATTTAATAAGTTACTTCTATTACATGCATTGTATATTCTATATTGTCTGGTCGTAAATGTTAAAGTTATCACCAGTATTAAATGTACTGCCAGATAATCAATAATTGGGCATTATTTTGTGTCAATCCTTTTAAGAAAAATAATGAAACATTTTCCTTACCGTAAGAAAAACGTGTGCTTTTCTGAGAAAAAAATCATATAATAATTCATACTTCCAAGTGTTTTTATTAAAGATTTAACTATAGTAAAATGTAGTCGTCTTAACAACCAAGTGCAGCTCCATCCGCCTCACAGCATTACCAACTGCATTAAGGCTGTTACTAGTCCGATGGGATTTGAAGAGCTGCCCAGAGGAGTTCTCACTAATTGTCTGTGTCTCATTCTGAGCTTTCAACATACAGCAAACATCCCCAGGAATCTCCGCCACAGCCCAGGAAATGTTGTGGTGGTGTTGCGGCCAGATCAATTAGAGGACAGATGCACTTCAGATCCGCAGAAAGACCCCGTCTGCTATTCAAATATCTCAATTTGAGCCACGGCTGATAATGGGGTTTGCATCCATCTCTATGTGTATACTTTCTTTCTGACTCATGCTCAACATTTGTCAAACGCCTTCACTGTGCGGGTCTTTTGTATATTACACACTTTACTTCTTAACCACAATCAACATGCAATGTACTTTGTTCAATGTATTTCTTAATTGTAGGACATGCAAAAATATATTTGTCTGGGGGGGCCCTGGTATTGAAATGTATTCCCTGTAATTATTATGAGGCTTCTATCAAACTCATTGCAATGTTATCAAAGGTATTATACTCTTTATAAAAAGCCACTCAAGTCACAGTTTATAAGCAAAAGGATGTCTTTATCCTTGTAATCTTTTAACGTCTTAATGTGAAAAAAATGATATGAGCACACACATTATACATACTGAAGCATTCTGCCCTGCCATGATGAAGGAAAGTAATCCATCATGCCTCTGTGTATGTTTGTAATGTGTGGGCTTGTGCACTTTAAACCCAAACCCCTTTTTATTGCATCAACATTAGCCCTGCTCCCTATACCTCAAACCCAACTCAATACAGTGGCAAACTCTCTTTATGGTTATGACGTGGCCTTTACATAATATAGAAAACACTCTCTCAGATCCGCCAGTGATATTACAGAGAGACATCCCCAGGAAATATGTAACACAACCCGGTATGTCTTGCATACTAAAGCTGCAAAATAACACTCATCACCCTACTATTGAATTATCAGAAAGGAAACACTCATCCTAATATAATTGGAAGTTTTAGTGTTAACAGCAATCAGTGCACAGTTCAACATGAGGCATTAAATGCTTGTAATGTAACTTGATCTCGGAGGTCTCAAGTGTAGCTGTGACTTCAGATTGAGTTATGTGCTGATGGCTGCTGGATTGTAATGTTTTCCCATCTGATGCCTCCCAAGTGAAAACATGTCTGTGGCAAGCATTCAACCAGTAACCTCATATGATAAATGTTTGAAAGCTGCTGTTGCTTGTGCCAAGCAAACAGTGGAGCTGAAATCATGTGTTGGACTCCACTGTAACACTGGGAGTCCAATAACGCCTCGTGCATCATCCAGGCTCAATGGGACTTTTCAGCACCTGAAAAGATTGGGTCAGAATTGTTTTTTGTCCACCATGAATGATTGTGTACACAGTTTAGTGTTTAAAACAGGGGTTCTCAAACTTGCAGGGGAACATTTCTCATGCAATCCTTCATTAACAAAACACAGATTATACTTACTACTACTTGTACACAGAAAAAAAAACTCAACAGATTTCACATCACTTTGTAAAATATTAGGTTCAACTTAATATTATTGCTTTCAACTAACATAATACAGTTGTGTGAAATGTGTTGACATAATACATTTCATTAAATTCAGTACAGTACACTTATGTACACTTTTTTTTATTATACTTTGAAACGGAGGGTTATTCTTTCAAAATTGCATTTGGACCTATTGACTGATTCATGATAGATTGATATGATGAGACAATCATGTCAGTAATAATTTGTTTAATACATTATATTTATTTATTATGCACTTCAGCTTAGTGAAAGCGTGGAGAGTCAAATGAAAGGCAAGGACGTTAGAGGACATTTAATACAGCAAAGAGCCAAGACTCAGAGTTGGCCCAAAGCTAAATTGGGTGCCAGTAATGGACACAATATACTTTTCTTATTGCCGCAAATGGTCCCATATTTTTCCTGGTTTCAATCTAATCATCAGTGATACTCTCTGTCACACATATTGACTTTCATGCCACAAGTTTGGAACACAACACTGACACCAACATCACCTTTTAAGTTGACACGGTACTGTAAGTAAACAGAAGCCTATTCACACGTCTAGCAGATACTGAACAACATAAGCATTCATTCGTTTTTCTGACAACCAGATGAAAGCAAGTCCATTAGTCAGTCGTGCCAAATGCTCACAAGATTGTCGCTCACTGTGTCTGTCTGCTGTTTAGTGCTGTGTCACGAGAATGGTGAAAGTAAACCAAAACAGTAAGATTACTGGTCAGAAGACCAAAACAACAAGCGTCATAAAGCTTAGAAGAACTGAGGGGAACTGCGGAGTTGATTGATTATTTTCACTAAGAGCGAGCCCTTTCACTTGTAAGTAGTAATGTGATCCATCGTTGTCGATATAAAAACATAAATAAGGTCAGATAACTCATATATTCAACAGCCACATACAGCAGCTGGTCATTACTTCCTAAAGGTGTTAGTAGTAAATATAAGAAGAGCTCCTTGCATGTTAAAAATGATAAAAACTCTGAAATCTAACTGACTTCCCTGACTGTTCTGGTTCATGCAGATAAAGTGTGACTAAGTTGTGAAAGCCATATGTGTATAGCCTGAGGAGTCAACTGACTGCATCTCAATGGGCCTTTAGATTAGACTTCTCAGCAGTTACATAACAATGAAGTTTAACTGCTTTGCCCGGGGCACTATAATGTACTTTAAATTAAAAAGACATTTGGCACCCTTAACGACTGTGAAGTCTAAGACACAATTACAGTAACAATGCCTTGACATAGTGCACTGCATTGTATGCAGTGTATTTTGTCTAGAAGAGACATATTGGACATACAGAGGGCAGGCACTAATCTATTAGAGTCATCAATTGGTGCCTTTATCATCAGTGTGCTGATTCGGGTCATCCAATGACAACGGTGTGAATGTCAGTTGACAGCAGTTGTGGCAGCATTTCTCTGGGAAACATGTGTAATGGCGAGCTCTTGTGGGCAAACTGAGCAGTTCCAACTCCAGGCAATCATTGCAAAAAGATTGCATTACATTGAGGAAGAGCAACAATAAAGTAGACAAACACAGTACACAAAGTGCACACAAGTGTGAGTTGAACTAATAGTAGATAATGATGAATGACAAGAACCTTAAGGCACTCATTTTTAAATGTCTGTAATTTAGAATGTCGTCCACTTTCGCTGACCGGCATAGTTGCTAATGAGTACTAACTACTTATTCATTATTCATTACTTGATCACTCGTATCTCTTTTTGCACCCTCAACTAAAGTGATGCCTCAAACTGAGTATACTCATTATTTTGTTATTCTGACAAGCTGACAAGAGTTTTTTATTGGAAAATGATATCGTCATATATAGCCTACTGTAGACCACATTTATACTGACGTCAACAAGATATACTATGTAGAATTATTGAGGCCTTAAAAATACAAGTCTGTACCACATTGAGCATGTGTACCACACTGATGAATTTGACTGTTCCCAAAGCAATGCTTTGAGAAAAATAATTTGCAAAAGAAACCTGTAAAAAAGAAATCCCTTTACTTGTATCTCTCTGTGTGCATTTAAGCACTGACATCTCACTCAATAACCAATGCAAACAGAGCGTCTCGCAAAAGCACATATTTTATTTATATGGCCAAGAGCACTCACACAAGCATTTGAACTTGCACCCCTATAATAGCATTGTTATATCCCATGTGTGCCATCACCCTAGTTTACAGTTTGTCTGAGCAGACAGTCCTTAAGAACTTGTCTCCTGGCATTTTCTCAACCAGCTGCACGATTGTAAGTGTTTTACAGTTAAAGCAAAATACTCAAAACAAAAACTATAAAGATCTTCTTGTATACAGCCTGCAGAACAATCTTAATTTAGCTTTTGAAGTAAGTGAACAGGCCAATACTGTTGCCCAGTAATCAGGTGCTAAGAATTAACCTCTACTTAATCCTTATCTGTATTTATAGTACGCTGGCCTTTGTCCTCAGGGATTATAGGTTGCTCAGAGAAACTCAGAGAAGTGCACAGCATAATGGTTGCTGTGTGTGTGTGTGTGTGTGTGTGTGTGTGTGTGTGTGTGTGTGTGTGTGTGTGTGTGTGTGTGTGTGTGTGTGTGTGTGTGTGCGTGCGTGCGTGTGTGTGTGTGTGTGTGTGTGTGTGTGTGTGTGTGTACTGTACGCCTGTCATCTTTAATTTAGTACACTGCAGTTAAGTGAAAGCAGGGCTATATCACGCTGAATTTGTATTCACCAGTCTTTTAGTGACTACCAGGAAACATAAACACTGGTTGCATCCAATAGTTGTTGGTGGTGCCGAACATGTTATGCTCTCTGTTTGAGCCATTATTAATTTAACCTCTTCTACACCGCACCCCCGACACCGGGGGGAAAACGCGTCATCTGCAGGAAACAGCGTCTGAGGGCATCTTAATATTCAATAAACTATGAATGTTTTATATCCATGTAACGGGAAGAAACTCAGCTAACTGATCTTTTTTTCTTTTTCTTTCAAAAAAACCCGCAAAGCTAGCGCTGGGCCTATGAATTAGCCTCGAGCGAACTCACTCATAACACCCTTATTATATGTATCTTTACTGCACGTCCAACATATCGACTAGCATCGTGAGAAGACACAGAATCGATCGGTACCTACATCATCAGTCCATGATAAGAACTTGCGACTTTATAAACAAAAACAGACATCAAAACATGTGGCGCTAGGTAGCTAAAAACGCTAACATGGCTTACCTGTGTCGTTGTCTGGTCAAAAGTGGTCTTCAAGGCATTAAAACGATAAAAACGCTGCTGAAGTTAATCCTTAGGTTAATCCGATGTGTTTGTGTCCCTTTGAAATGATTTCTGATAATCCATAAGCAATAAACCTGCTTTTCCATTTTCAGATGTCAGAGCGAGAGATAGGTTCACTCTCATGCAAAACTGCGTGCGCATAGCTCTCATTTCTCAATGGTAACGTTGGTGTGTATGTGGAAACTCCCCTTCGATTCTATTGGCTCTAACGGTCAGAAAGAGATGTCAATCACCAAAATCGACCAATGGGTTCCAGAGAAACGGTAAAAAAGGCCATTTCCACCCAGATCACCTCAGAGTTGGATTTTTTTTTGCTAAACCTCTCTAAAAAAATGGGTTAGGGTTAGGCAAAAAAAAAGGTAAAATGTCACTTGTTTTGCATCAATCTTGATACAGGGTACTTATTATATGTTGTATTTTGGATTCCTAAAGCTTTTAGTCTACCTTACCATCATCCAAGGGTAGTTTTTGTTGGGGAAATATATTCCAAGGCCCATGACTTTGACCCAGTTTATCAGTTCATACCAGAGGTCGCATTAACCGAATATTTTCCATCTATGACAACATTTTTTTAACAATGACCGACAAATCTGAAAGCAGTCCGTCATTTTGACTGATTAGAACAAACTCGGAACAGTGCCAAAGTTTCCCCGCAGCGAGGCTCCGGTGTTATGCATGCCCGCCAAAAAGGAAATGATACCGTTTCCAAACCTTACTTTGCCGAACAAATCAGTGAAATGTCTGTGAGTTTTGGCTTTACGCTGTGCACGCTCCCACGAGGTGCAGTGGGCATGCATAACACTGCGTTATGGCACGAGCGTGCTCTTCCCCCTCGGTTGACACTTATCTCTCTCCCCACCCTCGTCAGAGTTGTGTAAAGGCCGACGGGTAATACTGGATTTTGACGGAAATGTTACGATCCTGTCCGTGTGATGACGGGTACCGAAAAAGTCTAGCGCAACCTCTGGTTCATACTGTCCTGACTGAGCACACGCACCTGTTATGCACAATGTTGATTATTCTCTCTGAACTAGCTAAATACATGGGTCTGGGGTAGAGTTCTTCAGAATTGACGTGGCAACTCTACCGTGAAGTCAGAACCTCTGGCTCTTGGACTTGTTTTGTGAATTCTCCGGCCGAAGCTCCTAATAAACCATCAGTGTTTGACATCAAAGCTCCAGCTCTAATCCAGTGTCTCATTCCTGAGTCTGTGACTCCCACTGCATTGCTACACAGAAGTTTCCCCCACAGTTTTCACTATAAGTAAAAGATAATTTTTGGACGGACTCTATAATTTACAGTTTTTTTACTATGTTCAATCTGAATTTTCTTTAAAATAAAAAACATTTATATTGATTCTGACTTTTCTACATCCAACTCACAGGTTTATCATTACTTTGAGAAAAAAGATTATTAATTTAACCCTTTTAGAAGGGAAGATATGGTCATTTGTTCTGGGAATGTCATTTTCGAGCCTGAGACCTGAAAAACAGGCTTGGGGCTTAACAGGTTGTAACAGTTATGTGCAGACAGAACCTTTTCATACTATATAATGTAGCCCAGATTTTTCCCAAAACTTTAAAACACCACAACACCACTTTTCAATATTTACATAGTGACCCTGATATATTATAAACCTTTAATGATTATTTAAAAAGAGAGATTCAAACACTTTGCAGACTAGAGAAGACTTTATTGAAACAAACCCATACCATTGCACCGCCAAGTCAGAAAGTAGTATACTTTGAAACATTCAAATGAATTGACAACAAGGTTCGATGAGGTCACACCACAGATATGCAGGTCTTCCCCTGGCAGACAAATAGGAGGGATTAGCAACCCAGACACCATGGTGACACGTTTTATTGACAGACAGGAGACTAGCCTTGTTTTAGAAGTTTTACATTTGTAAATCATGACAATCTTTTTTTTATCTTGAGGCTTACACAAGCAGTATTTAGGGAGAGATACATGTGGATGTTGTGAAGGATCCTAGATTACTGGAACACACAATACAGTACATGCCGATTATGTTAAATCTGTGTCACAAATAAATTCCCTGTCTCACTGTAATGTTTGGGAATACACTCAGTAATACACTCTGTGCATAAGACACTATTGAAATAATAGAATAGAATATCATCTTTTTAAATTTTTTATTATAAAACCTTGCCTATCATCATCTATTACAATAAGTACTTTTGCCGATAAGGTCATGAATAAATGAATGCACTTGTAAAAGGGTTTTACCTGATTAGTAGGAGCAACAATTTATTTACCTTTACAGGCTTTTCGAAGTGCTCCATAAAATATATCGCCAAACAACATGAGCAATGTGATAAAATAACTCTTTCACACCATAACAACTCCTTATTTTTTAGCGTACAACATCAAAAAGCACCACCAATAGAAAATTAGACATATACTCAAAAAACTCAATCAAACAAAAAAATGTGCAATATTAACACAAAACCTTTCTCCATTCCAATCACCTTTTTTGTATGTAGAAGACACAGAAGCGGCATTGACAGTTAAAACAGGTCTATCTCAGGATGGCTGCATTATGATGAGGACAATAACATATTCATTAAACAGTGACAGTTAAAGCGAAGTCAATGGAGGGAGAAGTTGCAGATTGAAAATGTAATATTTGAATGTGCATTACTTTCATTTATACACATTTTATTTTTTTTGTAGATTTCTAATATAATTATTTTCACATACAATCATTTTCAAAATTCCGCAGAACAGAACAGAACCTGACTGCTAAGTGAGTTATGAAGTATTGTTCATTCCCTTTATGACTTTTATACCTGCAAAATGATTTAGATGTTTTGAACTAACTTTGGTCCTCCTTTCAGAATCTTTTTTGGTTAATGCCTCTACTCCAACATCTCAGAGGTGAGCTTCGTGATATGCTTCCATGCATGCTGGATGTGTCTTGATTCAGTACTGCGTGCACAGATGGCAAAGCGCAGGACAAAGCGGCCGGAGAGCTGGCAAGGCACGAGGTGGATCTCTCTGCTCTTGGTGATCCTTTTCAGCAAGAGCTCGCTCAACCCATTGGAGCCCTGAAAGGAGGGGGAAAGGAAGAACAAACCTATCACAGTGAGAAGATATACCAAAGTCTGGAATTTGGTCTTGCCTAAACACTGGGTTACTGGGTTAAAATATGTATCATGTTGCAATTTTGTTGATAACTGGGAGGTCTATATTCACTCAGAACAATGTTGAATAATATATATTCAACAATACAGCCACACTTTCACAAACAGAAGAGGAACACATGGATCAAGTACATGTGGTCCTTAGATGTTGGATGTGCTTACCTTGAGCCTGAAGCAGACCAGTCCCATGACGACCTTTGCACAGATCTCAAACCTGTTGTCTGCTCGCACCAGACTCTCAAACTCTTTGGCCAGGGCCACTTGCTGTAAAGAGAATACACAACTGTAATCTGCTATGACCAACTGCAGGTTGGTAAATGTACCTTATAATTTACTCTGCATGTAGATTAAAGTATATCAGATAACCTCAACAAGACAATATTTGACAAGCAACTCTGCTAAATGTTGTAATTTCAATGATGTTCACTAGATGGCAGTGCTGTATTATAATGGCTTTCAGTCATACAGATCAGAGCCTTTTTTTCCCACTGGTAAAAAAAAAAAATAAGAAAACTGTTTCCAACTGGTTCAGTCTATATACCTTATAGTGTAATATCCTTACTATAATCTCAATGGAACCATTTGAAACGATTGATAAACAACCCCATTGATTCAAGGGTTTTTTGCAGGATAGAACTGATAAGAAGCACTGCCATTAACCATGAAATAGTCTGCATCATATTCTGCTTCCATCAAATAATGTGCACTCCTTTTTACACATTTTTTAAATGGCAAAATATGATCATACATACAACACAAACCTAATTAATTCACGTATGATCAAAGAATGGTGAAACACTAAACCTGTATTCTTGCATCTGATCACAATAACAAGGAGGACCTCCACTCTCCTGCTTCTCTATAAAGCTGATGAAAGTTACGAATGACCAACGGATTGACCACCACCTTGTGTTCTCATTCCCAGCCAGTAATTCACCATCACTCAGAGATGTTTACAAGCCAATATACTATAATGACCTCATTTCTAATTACTGTAGGCTAGTTAGACTCACATTCCACATGCCTTTGACATTAAAATGCTTAATTTACAACTTTTTCTCAGGGAAGGAAGATTCATCATTAGGTATTCGTAAATAAACAAAGTAAATGTTTTCCTCCACTGGGAAAGAAGACAATTCAGTTTGTTTCGCATTCTGTATTTCAATTTGTAGGCTAAATATTGTTTGATTATATTTAAAGGATAAAAAATACGGATCAAACTGTTGTATCTAATCAAGAGGACGGATGCACAGTGGAGCAGTGTGTCATGGGTTATGGCCGCAGGGCTCACTGCTGCTGCTGCCGCTTCATTTTAAATGGAAGTAAACGCAAAACAGACTCATTTGATTGACAGAGTAGACTGGAGGGAGGAAGAGGAATATGAAAGGGGCGAGAGAGAGGCATGGAGAAAAGGATGGGCATTGGAGGAGAAATGTTGCTATAAAAAGAAGATGCAGACCAGACGTATAAGACTGACAGGATGCGCTGATGGAGGCAGAGATGAGGGCAGGGAATAGACTTTAGTGCTAAGGAAGATTATGTTGGCCGAGGCGTTTGATGGACGGATGGGATGGCATTTATTATAAAACTATTGTTACCTCAATTAACTGGTTAGAGAAATGAAAACATAATATTTTAAAGGTCATGAATCAACAGAACCTATCAACTGAATTTCTCTTAATACTTTCAGAGATAAATGTTAAGATTTTGACCATTAAAGAAATGTAAGAGCAATGATACATGATGGATTATTCAGCTGGTGTCCTACCTTGCGTATATGATCCTGTAGGCCTTGGAGCCCATACAAACGGAAGACAAACCACATCTTGAGTGAGCGAAATCTTCTGCCAAGGGGAATCTGCCAGTGCTACAGGGCACAGGAGGTAGAGAGTCCAATATATAGGGTTAACCCTCTGCACGTTTTTGGGTAATTTGGAACATTTTATATCTTGTAAATTGTGGAAATAACTTATTTAAAGAACTTTTATCTTACCCTATAATCTGTGATCACCCCTGTGAAAGAATAAACATTTCAGTTAAAAATGTCACATCATATACTTATAGTTTACATTTTAAAAGCAACTTGTTATAAAAAGATATTTAGGGATTAGTGTTCTGGTCACGACATCCAAACAAAAATGCTGAAAACAACAGACAACAACAACTGGCACCTACACTGTAAAATATTACCATGATTTCACAATATTTAGCTGTAATATTTTACAATAAATTACTGTTTTACCACTTTACAGTCTTTACCAGGATTTCACAACATGTTACTGTATTATTTCATAGTAAAATACTGTATTCAGACCATCCTCTGTGATAACACAACAAATTACATGATTTTCTTGCTTTTATCGCTCTTGCTTGGCTTTAAATACTAATTTCTTTCTTTGGTGCAGGTTTTACTTAAATTGAAATTGCATGTGCCTTAAAATAAACGATGCAACATATACATCTATGTAAATTGAAATTGTTGTCTTGGCTTATTGTTTTCAGGTGCTTCCTGGGCATTAATCCTGAGACGGGCTCGAAAGCCAAAAAGAGGCATGGCAATTTAAACCCCCATGTCAGCACATTCTTCAGAAAAATGGTTGACTTTGAGTGGATGTCTGTGTAGACATGTGTTACGTGCTCCCCTCCTTGTTTTCTTTTCTGTCTCCCTGCTGCCCAGGTGCACATTGGCCCGTTCTCATGTCATCAAATGTCCCTCCTCGACTCCCCTCCTCGACTCCTATCCTCGAGACTTAGGCCCAATCCCAAACCACTCCCTCGACCCTACCCCTCCGTGACGGAGTTCACTCCGTCTGTAGCCACACTCGCAGCTGAATGAGGCTCCCTCCTGTCAGATGGAGGGAGTAAATACAGCGGCAAGCTTTGGGACAAACTCCCCTCTCTCCGGCAGAAACAGGAAATGCCGTAACTGTATGTAACAACGGTTTCAAATCAGCATCTCTTAGACAAAAAAATGTAAATTAATAACTCAAATAAAACTCCAAACATCTTTCATTGTGTTACTTATTTGTAAAGCTCTTTTAGTTTTAAACCTGATGTTTATAAGCTTCTTAGTTTTTGCAACAGTCTGTAAATATACACAACTTTATAATAAAATGCACACATTTACCTTTTTCTAGACTAAACACAGGTATGATCCTAAGTTAAAAAAATATGAGGTTATCATGAGGTTGTTAACATCGCAATTTATCAGTGGATGTTTGCTGGAACTACTTGTAAACAGCGTGTTTCCTGACGGACACACACACACAGCGTTGAGACCGGTCAGGTAGGGCAGCAGGTGAAGTTAGCACCGATGCAGACTCGCTGTTTGAGGGCTTGATAGCCCACTCCCCCTCCACCCCGCTCCACACTCGTTGGTTTGGAACAGCACTTAATGTGGCGGACCCTCCGCGCGAACGCGCAAACGGAGGGGTAGTGTGTAGGGGTAGGGTGTAGGGCGTGGTTTGGGATTGGGCCTTAGTCCCGCCCACAGGAGATGCGAGCGGAAGAGCCGAGGAGGGGAACCGAGGAGAGAGGAGGGGAAGCAGCAGGCGGTTAGAGAAATGAGAACTCCTCTCCTCTGATACCCCATTCACACCAACGGTGTTTCGGGGCCGGTTCGGTGCTGGTGCTTGAAAAGCACCGGGTTTTCCTGTTCACACCGCAGCGGAGCAGCCTCTAAGCTCCGGAATCCGGTTCGTTTCGAGCACCAAAAAGTTGTCCGTGTAGAAGCAAGAACCGCTTACGTCGGAGGGGGGCGAGATTAACCTGAGATAACAGTTAAGGCGAGTACGGCAAATAAAAGTTGTAACCAGCAGTAGTGCTGAGCAAAGTGACTAGAACGCAACCACACACTTGTAAAAAAAAAACACGCTTTATAAAGTCAGGCAACACTAACCAGGCTTCGTGTGATTCTGTTTATTTGTACCTTACTTTGACCATCCGTTCGCTGTTATTGATCATTGTGGAGAGCAGGCAGACGTTTTGTTTGTTATTATAGCAGCTATCGGATGGAATCAATACATGGGCTGCACAGGTTGTCATGTCCGACTATCACAAGTAGAATCATAATGAAAAATACGCCGGTAAAAAGTGCCTGTATAAAACGGCTTAGCAAGTAGTCAGTTTAGCTTCGGTTGCTATGCTAACATCACCCATGTTATACCAGAGAAACTTTCATAACAGCGTTGTGATGCCAAACAGCGTCAATTCAGACTGACACCAAACAGCGTCAATTCAGACTGACACACATTCACTTAAGGGGAACTGGGGATATGTAACAGCTGCTTGTGTGACAGTCAGACAGTGAATACTTTAGAGCCGTGTGAGCTAACCCGGAGCTAACGGGAGAATACACTCCCGTTGAAGAGCAGTCAGCACTGCAGCGGTCGGTAAATGCCGCTGAAACACATTAATAAACAATGAACCACGGCACTCTGGAGAAAAGTATAAGGTTGGAGAAGTCGTTATTTAATTTAATCTGGCTTCGTATGATTAAAAGCAACACGATCATCGACCCGACGCAGTCCCCGGCCCGTTGTTGTTGTGAGGTGAGCTCCGTTGGGGAGAAACTCAGCGACGTAAACTGTGACGTCATGACGCAGCAGCGGCAGCACCAGTCGGGCTCTGAGCGGTGTGAAAAGAGCCGGCGCTAAACCGAAGAACCGGTTCTGAACCAGAAAAGCTCTAGCACGGAGCTAGAAGGGGAAAAGCCTCGGTGTGAAAGGGGTAAAAGTGGTCATTTTAAAGAGACGTCCATTAATGATGACAGGAGGCACAGCAGCCCGTCTGATGGACAGATGTGTTCATGACGACTTATATATTTACTTTCATTCATTCACAGTGCGGTATAATGAGACAATAACAGGCTACAGATGCGGACACACACACACATACACACACACACACACATATATATTTATATATATATATTTATATAAATGTATACAATTTCAGAATCAAACAGAGCACTCTCATAATAACGTAACACTATCAGAGACTGGATATATCCCCCCCCTCTCCCCTCTCTGGTTGCTACAATGAGGAAAATAAATTACGGGCCAAAAGTTTTATTTACAAGTATTAAAAGTAAGCAGAGGACACCAAACCAACTGAGACCTGTCTGTCCGCTGCATCGACGCACACACTGTACCACACACACCTACACCACACACACGCACCTACAGCTCCTAAAGCATAATAATCAGGCTACAGCCGTTGTGTATTTTATTATGTGAAGCACTAAATGGTTTTAGAAAAATATCGACTCTTTGTTTGTAGATATCTACTAAACTAAAGCAAATAAAGAGAGTAGGCCTGTTATACTGAGTGATATATATTATACACACTGCTCTGCTTTCTGCATGGACCTCACAGCTGTTCTCTTTGGAAACATCGCGTCGCGATGAAAGCAGTTAATAAAATAATATCCAGGGGATGCATGCAGAGCTGTCTGAGATAAGTCCGGTGTCAGTACCATATAGTGATGTGTCGGTCGCGAACGAGCCGATTCTTTTGAACGGCTCTTTGGTACGAACGAGGGGAACCGAGTCGTACTTGGTGAGAGCCGTTCTTCTTATCGTTCAATCAAAGTTGGTCCGCACTCACTGCCTGCCAAAATTCACTCGCCTTTTAAAAAGCTTGATTTTGTTCCCCAAACGTATTCTGTGAAGACCCGCCCCTACTCTGATTGGTAGGTTTCAGCACGAGGAGTTAGGTGGGGTGGGTCTTAACGGAATACGTGAGAGAGAAGTCATAACAAGTGGTACTGGACAGATAGACGACGTGTTTTTCGGATGGAAAATGAGCCAAATGCGAAAACGCAGCAGCATTTGGATGCACTTCAACCAAAACCCAGGCAGTGATAAAGAGCACCATTTGTAAAGGCAAAATATCCTTTAAAGCAGGGTCAACAAATAATCTCCATCGCCACTTAAAAACACACTACTAATATTAAGAGTTGCGTGAATTTCATTCAAGGCAAGGCAACTTTATTTACTTAACACATGCAGAGGGTACATTGAAAGTACATTCACTGACATGAATGACATGGATATGGCGCCACCTTGTGTCATGTTTACAATGCAGATTATTGACATTAGGTCTGGCAATGCAGTCAATCATTATCCTGGTGATTATTTCGCAGATAAACCTAGTAACCCCGCCCCCTTTTTAAAAAAACGGCTCTTTTGAACGGCTCTTTGAAAGGAACGGAGCCATAAGATCCGGCTCCCTTCAAAGAGCCATAATTCCCATCACTAGACCATATGTGTTCGCCCCATAGATATATATAAACACTAGATGACTCACCCGCGCTGCTGGCCAATGGAGACCGACGTTGCCACATGGCCGCCATCTTGCTACAGGCAGTGCTCTCATTAACATTATGGTTTACTATTTAAATAACCATAGCTTGCTCAATTTTCAACCAATTTTCAAACGGTTTGGTTTTTTATAAACATCAAAGATGTAGTTATGATACTGCATACTTATAATCATGGACTTTCATATGAAAATAACATTAAGCAGATAAAGCAATAGCTATACACACACACAAGGTATTTATATTAAATATTTGCCGGTGTATATATTTCCATTTATTTTATTATATTGTTAATATTTAAAATAAATTATAAAATTAAAATATTTATATTTTATATATAAAAATCGGTCTCATGTTACCACTCTGTAAGCCAAGAGTTGTTAATTTAGCAATGCCTTAGCTTGAAGAACAGGGACACAACTAATGACAATAGCATATGGTGGTATTGTAGTGATCACTGATTCATACACTGGGGTTACATAATTCAATCCGGGAACTACAGGTTGGGGGTATTGTTTCCGCCCGGACATATATGTTGACGGTACCTCCGGGGTACCTACTGTGTGTCCTCCTCTTTCACTTTCTCTTCTCCTCTTTCCTGCAACCCGACAGCACGTCGATTTCTGCTCCCCAATAAAGAGAGATTTGCACCTCCGATGCACCGCCTCCGTCTCCCTTCTCTCGGCACTAC